AAGCACCATGCCTGGCACACAGCAGGTGCTCAATACATGCTTTTTGGTTGAAAGTGCAAAAATAAGAAAAACAGGTCAGCTCTATTAGGAGCTCAAAGCAGAGAGAGAGCAATACATTTAAGTGAAGTCTGGGAAGGCCTCAAAGGACAAAGGCAAAGGGAAAGGGAGGGGACTCTGGGCTAGGGTAAGTGAGGTGGGAAACAAGCCTTGAGGCCGCCATGTTTGTGGGACAGAGCCAGCCAGGAGCATGAGATTGGGTTGGGGGGAAGGAAGGGGGTCAGTGAGAGACCACAACATGCAAGAATTAATTAGGCACTGTGCTGGGCACCGGGGAAGACACAAACTTCATTTCAGACCCAGCCCCTACGTCTCCTACTTCTAGAAGCCAGTTCTTTTTCTTTCAGGCAATGGGGTTAAGTGACTTGCCCAGGGTCACACAGCTAGTGAGTGTTATGTGTCCGAGGCCGGATTTGAACTTGGGTCCTCCTGACACCAGGGCCGGTGCTCCATCTACTGCGCCACCTAGCTGAGTTCTCTCTTGCTGGGCCTAAGACCACAGTGGTTCTGGGCAGCCATGCTTCCAGCTTTCAGAGGAAGAGCACGGCAGATTCCACCACATTCTCTGCTAACACCTAGGAAGACCATAGCCTTCCCCTGGCAGGGCCCAGAAAGGGGCTGGGGTGGGGAAGGCTTCCTTCTCTGGTCGCTGACACAGAACTTCAATGATCCTTCCTACAAGTTGTGCCAGAAATCGAAGCTGATCTTGTTTTACAAGGTGGAGATTCCGTTCTGGTCCCTTTCTCAGCACTAAGAGACACTTGCTCCACTCCAGGCTCCGGAGCTCCCCTGGTCTCCGAGCTCAGACCACAACGTCCCCCAGGAGGTCGGCCTCCCATCCATGCCCCCACACACACCCTGAGACACCGCAGTTACCACGCGGAAGATGTGTACCCAAAGGAACCAGAAAGGTGGTCTGGTCTGTCCCACACGGGGGGCCTGAGGCCCGGGGATGGCAGGGCCGTGGCTCTCTCTGCTCACCTGGAATGGCCCACAGTTAGGAGCCGGGGAGGACCCCCACAAGGAGAAGGGGGGTCACAAACACAAAAAGTGGGACTTCTGCTGTTGCCCCAAATGAAAATCTATTTACTGACTCAAAAATCTCCCTCCCCTTTCACCTAAGCAGAAATCAGCACACAGATGATATCATAGCCTCGGCACTGGGGTTTTTACATTTCCAAGTCTCCCATGGCTTGAAGCGAATCTTTCAGTGTTAAAAATCCCTCAAGTACAACCATTTACACTGCATCTCTTGGGGAATCTTAACTATGGAGTGTGCCTCTCGTGGGGGGCCGCTCCAATGCAGTCCCCTTTTAGAGTCGGGCTTGATAAACCTCTTAATCTGCTTGGAACACTTAGCGTAAGCTTAATTAGGAATGGGTGCTTACGGGGCACTGGGTGGCACAGTGGACAGAGCACCAGCCCTGGAGTCAGGAGGACCTGAGTTCAAATCTGGCCTCAGGCACATACCACTCACTAGCTGGGTGACTCTGCAAAAGTCACTTAACTCCAACTGTCTCACCAAAAAAAAGGGTACTTGAGTAGCCCCACCTCCAAGTGGTCATTCCTTTTTACCCAATTGTTCTCAGCACTGTACCTTCCCCTTCACACGTAGTCAACTCTTTGCTCGTTGATGAATTTAAGACACTTTTGTAGAATGGTTTGTGAGCAGTGCTGAATCGTTGGGAGATCTAGGCCATGGCCTGGCGTTCTGCTGAGACCAGTGGGCATGGGAAGGTCATTTCACCTCGGTCTGCCTGTTTCTTATCTATGAAATGGGGACAATAACAGCACCTGCCTTCCTGGATTGTTGTGAGGATGGCATGAGACAGTAATCATGAATGTTTGGCATGGTGCCTGGCACACATCAGGCACTGCATAAATGTTCTCCATTATTAAAAAGATTCTACAAACACCACTCTCATTTAACCTAATCTCAAATCCTTGCATGTGTCTAGACCTCACAGCGAATAGGAAAGTGTGAGATGACAGATCCCATGCAGGTCCCTCGACCTTCCAGCCAGAAGCAGCAGGCTTGGGAATTATCCCCACTGGTCTAAACTCCTGATCACAGAGGCCTTTGAAGGGAAATCCCACGTAGGACTGGAACCCAGCTCTCGCATCACTGGTATTTCCACGGCACCGGATATGCCAGAATAAAATAACGTTGAAGGCTGATTCAGACAGACAGAGTAGACATTAAAGCAATGGCAAAAACAAGAATGATGAGGATGCGTGGGAAACCGGCACTCCGCAAAGCTGGGAATAATCCTGTCCCGGTGCCTGGGCACTCACCGTCCAAGGGCTTGAACAGGCGCTGCATTGGAACGCTTCTTACTCTGCTCCTCTGCCGGCTTATCAGGGAATCACTACTGGCGGTATGATGGCGACCATGACCGAGCCTACCCAGAAGATGAACGAGGGAGGACCTATCCCCAGCTCATCTCGGATGGCTTTCCCGGCATCCCGAGCCCCCTGGACACGGCCTTCTACGACCGGAGGACCCAGCTCATTTATTTCTTCCAAGAGTCTTTGGTAAGTGGAAGGCCTCCTCTTGGGCGGTGTTGCCAAAGCCACCTGCATCTTGGGTGCGTGAGACGATGGGGTCTGGCCTCACATTTCTGTGCTCTGCAGGTGTTTGCGTTTGATGTGGACAGACGCCAAGTGGACAATTCTTATCCAAAGAGGATGGTTGACGCTTTCCCGCCAGTAGCTCCCTCAAGCCATCCTTTCAGGGACATAGACTCGGCCTACTTCTCCTATGCACACAGCGCCATTTTTTTTTTCAAAGGGAATGCATACTGGAGAGTGGTGAATGACAAAGACCGCCAGCAGAATTCCTCACTGGCTTTCAACGCGCTGTTTCCCAAAGAGTACATCTCTCAGAAGTGGTTCGACATTTGTGACGTCCATCCTTCCACATTGAAGATGAAGGAGCAAAATGCAGACAGAAGTGCTGGCTAGGAAACGCTCAGGCAGAGACGAAAAGGGGGGAGCTGGTAAGAGCATCCCTGAGGGTCCACCAGGGTGGGGCCCAGGCATCTTGCCCAGACATGCACCCAAAGGGAATGGCTTGCGCTGGCAGCTTCTGGGAACAAGGCTGGACCGTGCAAAGGGCAGTGGGAGGGACGAGTCCCTGGGGCAAAGAGAAGGCCCAGGTCACCAAGGGGAAGAGAACGTTAGCTATCAAGGGGAGGGAAACTGGTCTCATCGCGACGCAAATTGCGGACTTGGTGAAAACGTGTACAGCAACAGCTGAGGCTGGCTTCTGTGGCCAGAAGCCACAAGGCCCTACCCAGAACACAAAGGTGACCTTTCGGTGCTTACCTGTCATTTGAACGTTCTTTGAAGTTACAGGAGAACTCTGTAGCATCACAGGGTTTTAGAATCCCAAGAGATCCTGGGGATCTTTAGTCAAAAATCCTTCCTTCCTTTCAGAGAAAGAAACTGCAGGATAGGGCAGACATGGTAGCTGTTGGGATTAGAATGCAAGAGCCTTCTGATCCCAGATGCCAAAGCCTTCTCAGAACCCCACAGTATTATCACCAACTTCCTTTTCTGAGGAGCTTTCCCAGCTCACTTGAATGCACTAATTCTCCTTTTTTAGGATGGGATGGCAACTTGGAGCAGAAGAGGTTTGGATCTCAAAGCACATTTTGGAAGCTGGCTGGCTGGGTTTTTTCCCATTAACAACCACAACCGGGACATAAAAAAACCATTTCTCATCTGAAAAAAAAGTAGAACTACAGCGCTTGATGTGGAATGACTGATGGAAGACTGTCATTAGAAAGATGGGACATTCAAGGAGTGAAGAATCCCGTTGTGCCAAATTCATACGCATGCATTTGCCCCTTGTAGAGGACATTGTATTGAAAGGGCTTTTCATCAGAAATGTAGCAGCAGACGCTCAGTACAATTAAAGAGGGCAGTGACCATTGACCTTCAGACCTTGTCTGAAACCAGCTGGGATAGGCTGAGCTGGGCAGGCAATGGGGACGACCATCAGTGCCACGTTCCTTCCATCATTAAAATGCTCCCTGACAAAAACAAGCCAAGGAGAGACGTTCTCCACTGCAGTCCGAGGGAATCGGTCCCAGGAGACGTCCATGGCTCTGGATGTTGAGGCAGAGAGGAGGGGAAGGTGCTGGCCTGGAAGTGAGCAAGGCAGGATTGAGTCCCTGCCCCACTGTGACTCGACTGGCCGGGTGAGCTTGGGAGAACACCCCAATTCTCTGTCCTGGGAGATTTCTGTTCACAGGCTAGCACAAAAACCCTCATAGCAATGAGACAGGGCATTACCAAATGCCCAGTGTCTAGGGAAAGAAATATTCATGCTTCCCAAGAGTGTTTTGTTTTTGTTTTTACCATTATTAGCTACGAAGAGAAACAGAGTGGAAAGTTTGCAACTATAACTTGAAGGGGGTACACGGTGATTAATTTGTGTAAATCTGTGCCATTGATAAGAAAAACATTGTCAATCGATAAGACAGATGGTGAGGATCCCTATGCTGGAGAAGAGAGATGGTAGAGATGGTGGAGATGATGGAGATGCATCCTCACCACCTCCCCTCAAAGCTGGGGGGCCCCGGGCACCCAAGTGGGCCATCATTCTGCAGGGGGCATCCCAGGAAGGACTCAGGGGAGTGAAGCAAAGCCCACCTGACAATTTAGAACCTGAGTGTGACAGCTGTCTCCAGCCCAGCCCACCAGGTTCTGTAACACCACCACCAACATGGCCACCAGAGTTGAGCGCAGGAGAGTTTATGTAAGAAACGTGCATTTGCTCGAAATTGTAAGTGTTTCCACAAAGAAACAAATGGGGCACCGTACCAGCCGACCAGGGCTGCACACAGTGCCTCAGGCTTTCTTGCCTTCACTGGAACCACTTCCTACTTGAATCAGCCCTGATGAGAAGGGGCCGAAAGGCAAAACACACTCAAAGATGGATGCATCTATTTTTAATAAATACATTTATTTATTTAAAATATCTTTCTCGCCTTTTATTCACAGTTTCAAGTTCAAAAAGAAAAGAGGGATAATAGCATCTTCTTTCTTGATCAACTGCCATAGTAGGTCAGAGTAGCACTAAGACTTCCGGAGCGTGAGATACTCAAGCGAACCGCCCAAGAGCCAAACTGTGTTTGAAGACTCCTGTCTCGAAGCTCAAAAAGGCACCTGTTTGTGCACGGTCACAACTCTCAGGGCTCCGTGGGCAGCTCCTGGACGTCCTCTGGGAATGCCGCTCGGATCCGAGGTTAACCACCTCTCCCTCCCACCCACCGGGCCCCGGCTCACCCAGCCGCGGGAGAGCGCTCAGAGTCTCAGGATCACGAGCCCGTCCAGGCCTCCGGGCAGCGCCTCAAGCACCAACCCCGCCCAACCACGTCAGAGTCTGCCTGTCCTGGAAGGAGGGCAAAGGCCTCCCTGTCCTTCCCTTGCGGTCAGGATGCGGCATCTCCCTCATCATCAATGAAACGAAGCACCACATGGACGGCCAGACGGACGGCCAGCCCCAGCCCCCCATGGTTACAAGGCACTGATCACGCTCTGCCATGGGCCAGCCGGCCGCTCAGGGGGGCGGTGGCGTGGCTTCTCCGGCCTCCTTGCCGGCCGAGAGCTGGCCCATCAGGTGGAGGATCACGTTGATTCTCTCCAGGAGGGTGGCATGCTGGCCGGCGGTGGCCCGCAGGAGCTGGGAGTACACCTGCTTGCTGGTCTTGAGCAGGGCCTCCTCGTCCTCAGAGTGACTGCTGGGAGAAGGGGGAGTGGTCAGTGATGAGCACGTGCACGCACGCGCACGCACACACGCGCGCACGCACACACACACACACACACACACACACACTCTCTTTCTGCCTCAGGCAGCCCACACCAGGTGTTTCTGCCCATCGCACCTGCCCTGCCCAGCCATCTCTCCTGACCCCGTCTTCACCAATGTATTCTACTTCTTTTCGGGTCAACCCTCAAGTCAAACAAGCTCACTTCTTCTCTGGGCCACAGACAAAGTCACTGCAGCGGGTGGGGGTGTCCTAGGCAGACAAACTGCCTGGTTTCAGTGGCCGGGGGCCAGCCAGTCCAACTTGATTTTGGCCTCCCAGGGTTCAGCCCGGCTTTCCTGGGATCCTTACTCCAGAACAGTCCTAAAGCTTACGAGAGTTTCCATGAGATTCCCCAATTGCTTAAAGATCTGTTTCCAGAAACCTGGGGCTGGCAAGCTAGGAATGTCCAGGCCTCTGCCCACAAGCTGGAGTTCTGAGAACACCCAGCCCTTCTCCGCAGCTCCAGAGGGCCGGACCACATGATGCAACTGAGGCCGACGAGGCCACTTGCCCAAGCAAACAACGGGTGATGTGAGGGAGGGTGGAGCAGAGACTAGAGGCCTTCTAGGCCCATGGCTTTCCTAAATGCCCCCTTTCCTTGACAGTCTTCAGGACTAGCACTTCCTACACACAGAAGCCATGATGAGGATCTTGGGGGGCTCACGAAGGGAAAGGAGTTGGAACGAGGGTTGGAATGCAATTCAGTGAACTCTGAAAGGCAAAAGAAAAGGCAGGAGTGTAGGGGGAAGAGTCTACATCTGGGCCACTTGGACTTCTGGTGCCCATGGCTGGTGTTTGGGACATCAGAGGTCACCCAGTTCCACTGTCTCCCTCTCACAGTGACGTGCCCAAGGTCATAAGTAGCCAGGGAGCGAGTGGCCAAACCGGACGGTGACCCGGGACCTGCCCGGACTCCTGCAGTCACATCATGCTGCCGCGAGAAAATATCAGTGATGTACTTTCAGTCTTACAGTTCATGTTGAACAAAGAATATCCATACTCTTATAATTATGAGAATAGCACAGAAGAGCTGGAATGTGGTAAAGTGGCCAGAACCCTAAAGTTGCCGGGTCATTCTGGCCAGTTGACCACATAATTCCCCTCGGCAGCTCAGACCACGACCAGAATCCATTCTCACTGGTAAGTGGACATCACCGCACAAGAGGCCCACGAGCCCCTGTCCGGCAGCCTTGTCTGACCCAGAGGGCCCCGTTTGCCTCTGATCACACTTCTAGCTTTTAATTTCAACAACCAGCTCTTCAGCCCGACCAATGTACAATGTGCAGAAGGATATTACAGCTGTCTGATTGTCTTTTTGGAGAAGACGAGTAACTGATGTTTGGAACATTTTCTTCCCACTAACCTCACCAAACCCTAAGTTTTCAGATCTCTTCAAGATAAAACCCATGGAATCCTGGTTCCTCCACAGAGACCTCTCCAGGACAGTTATTACCTTGCAGGTCATCTGCATTTCTGTGACAGTGTTTTGCTCCAGAAACAAACCCCAAAGCCACCAGAAGGTCTAGCTGTCTCCCAGCAATCTGCTGAGCACTGAGCATTAATACATGTTGCAAAAACAAATGAAAATCTGCCAGGAGAGAGAGCATTTTAACAATACGAACAGCGATGGCAACACCCACTTTCACAGACTGGCTTAGCCTAACTAGCTAAAAGCAACAAGATGCCTTGCTCAGTAGAGCCCAGGCCAAAGCTCTCCGTCCCACAAAACCAGCGGTGAAAAGGAAAAGAGACAAAGTGTTCAAGTGTCACACACGGCAGCAGCCAACCACCCTGCTTTCCCCGAGGCTCTGGCTCTGCATGGATGCTGCCGAGTCTGGTGGGGTCGATCGGGCCTTACCCCACCCAGAGGCTCACGAGGGACACTTTTCCCTCCTGAATAACCAGAATTATCGATTAGTATTCACTTGAAGGTTAATGAAGAAAAATGTAAGTGAGCAGCCAAGCTTCTCCCTGCCAACAGTCAGACAACTCCTGAAATAACACATAAACGCACTAATTGTCCAAAGAAAAGGATCCCATGAACAGTCTGAGCTTACTTAGCAAACCTTGGACAAAACCAGCACAAATGAGCTAAACCGGAAATTCTGCGTCTGGCAGAGAACTGAAATTGACTCTCAGCAACCTCAAAAAAAAGCCCGCCCTCCCCCGAGGAAAATCCCTGAGACCCTAGGACCTCTCACCTGCCCTGAGAAAACAAGAAATGGCGTGGGAGACCTGAACGTTAGCCAGACATCACAATGGAGACTGGCACCATCTCGTGGAGATGAAAAAGACAATGAGCTGAGCCCCTCGTAGGCCCAGCTGGCCAGAGGGGCCGTGGGGTCTCTGCCAGCTGCACATCCTTACACACGCTATTCGCCACTGCCACCTTTAGACTCTTTAGATACCTTCAGCACCAAGAGCAGGAGGGAGCCAGCTGCGCTGACTGGACCACATCCACATCAGCCTGGACACAGAGAATGGCCGGTACTGTGGGGTAACAAGTGCTGGGCCCAGAGCTGGGGATATCTGAGTCTAAATCCCACGTGTAACACCCACTGGTTGTGCAACCCAAGACATGTCATTTAGCCACCCAAGTCACCTGTAAAATGGGCATAAATCTGTCGCACCAACTCCACAGAGCTAGTGTGAGACTCCAATGATCAAGTGCTCTGAAACCTTGAACCACTACATCGATGGTTATTTTTATTACACAGGGATGAAAGGGCACTGGCAAAACCTTTCTTTTGATGTCACCTGGGGAGTAAATACATTAGATCCGGCTCTCAGACTTGTCTGTCTCAGAGACAATGCTAGGGTCCAGAGGGTTGTTGGGAAACAACACAACTTCCACACAAATCACTGGTAAACGCTGAAGTTAATTTGCTCCCCGTGAGGGTAACTTTGTGATGGGCCAGGGCAGATGAAAGCTCTCTGGCCGGCCGCCCATCCTGACCAGCTGGCCCTTTGGGGAGGGGGTCAGCATCAGCTCAAAACAGCTTCCTAAAAGGAAGGGAAGAGCCACAGGCTTGGAGAAAGCTCTGCCGACTCTACACCCGGGGACAGATGCCCAGGCACCTCCACCGACCTCACTTTCTTCTTGGCTAAAGACAGCAGCTTGATGGACTGCAGCAGGAGGAAGGCCAGGCGCGACTCAAAGATGCTGAGCAGCTTCATGACCTCTTCTCGGTGGAGGCTTGTGGCTGAGGGGTCGGGGGCCAGGCCGCTCTCCTCACTCTTGACCTGCAAGGAAAGAGTCGTCCCGTCAGCTCTGTGTGGTCCAGATTCCAAGGGATAGGAGTACGTGAGACAGCTATTAGTGACTAAGTCTACGTCCGGGCCAGGACGCGGGAAGGAAGCAGCAGCAACTTCCTGCATCTCCTGGGGGGGGATGCTGCGGAGGTCGCCCCTCGTCATTCCCCTGCCCTCGTTTCTCAGGAGAGGGGTTTCCGTCAAGGACGATGGTGACTCATTTCACCACAATCAGTTTGGCTAAACTAAAGAATTTTGGTGGACAAAGGGCAGGGGACAGAGGGGCGGGTGACCACTGGGCTAACTTCTCTGAGGAGGGTCTTTGGAAAGCCTCGTTTCATCAGAAGAATCCTAAGACGCCTCCCACATAACGAGGACGTGACAACCACTGATGGAAGGGGCTGCGCCCCAACATAGCCACCCCAAGGTCCAAGCCAGGACTGGTCCCCAGCTTCCAGGGCTGCCCAGGCCACGCTGGTGCCTCTTTGCTGTAACTTCCTCTGGGTCTGAGATCCCAGCTCTGTTTGGTCAAGGTTTGAGCATTTTTCAAAGGATCACCAAATGTGCCACAATGATACACTTCATCCAACTGCTTTCGAAATAACAAAAATGCCTTTCCCTACTGACCTGTGAAGGCACTAGGTGGTGCAGCGGATAGAGTGTGGAGTCAAGAAGACCTGAGATCAAATTCACCCTCAGACACTCACTAGCTCTGTGACCCTGGGCAAGAAACTGAACCCTGTTTGCCTCAGTTTCCTCATCTGTAAAAATGAACCGAGAAGGAATTGGCAAACCGCTCTGGTGTCTCTGCCGAAAAAGCCCCACGCGGGGTCACGAAGAGTCGGACACGACTGAAACGTCTGAACAACAACAGCCGTGTGTGAGCTTCAGGACCCAGGACAGCTGCAGCAAAGGTCTGCCCAGGCACCACTAGAGGCACCACTAGACGTGGCTGGTGTGAATCCTGGCTTGGCAAAATGTGATTTGTAAAACACATGTTACTGACACCTGCAAAGCAAATGCTTGAGAAGAACAGTGCTCGCCACATAGTAAACACCGAGCAAATGCTTCATTCATTTATTCATTAGAATTACCTTCCTAGCATTTTCCTTAGTAACTGGGAATCAATTTAATCCATAAAAACCTGCAACTATGCTTCTGAATGACATCAGTCAGAAATCATATCGACAATGAGCATAATCATCACCACAAGGGATGTCAGAGGGCTCAGATTTCAAAAGAAAGCAAGCAGTAAGCTGAAGGGCCCATTTAGAAGCCAAGTCAGCACCTCCGCCACTCATCTCCAAGACATAATCTGCCCCCAAAGTAAGATTTATCTCCAATATAGAATCTGTGCTTTGATTTTTATCTGATCGAATCATACCAGCTGTGTAATTATTTTTGTAAGTCATCTGTAACTCTGATCTAGGATTAAGGGTTTTTTAAGGATTGTTTTCAAGAAGCTACTATCTAAATAAAATGGAAGAAAAATCCAATTGGGAGTGCAGAGTATAAAGCCAAAGTAATAAAATCTCTCAAAAGGCTCAAATCTGCAGTGGTGGGAAATGAAGGCCAGGATCCTTTCTGAAGAGGAGGGTCCAAACAGTAAGGACCTGGGGCTGGGGAACGGCAGCCGGCCTGCTGAAAAGACCACCAATCATCTTGTTTCCTGGGAGGTTTCCTCTTTTTAAAGAGCAAACCCACTCATTTCCATGGCCGGGAAGGGAAAAGTCAGAGTTGTTTTGGCCCACCATTCAGCTTTCAGCATCGGCATCATCAGCCCCTCACAGCTGCCCAGCTGCCCAGATCCAGGACAGCCTGGCCAGCCACTCCCCAGAACCTCCGCCTGGACTGCCCTCCGTGCCACACTGACCTGGTCACACTCATCGCTGAGCTCCTTTCTGATCAACTGGAACGCATGCTCAGATTTCACCATTATGTCTAGGGCACCAGACAAGGTCTTCAATTTCCCCGCACTGCTGTTCTGACCTACAATATTAGACACAAGTGGGTCACCTCAGTTTTTCTGGCCTCGTAATGATAACATGACATTGTACGGGGATCGCCACAGCCAGTGAATGAATACAGTGTTAAACCTGATGGAGAATGGCTAAATGCTTTACGTTACATGAACAGAACAGAGTCCGGCGGTGCCTAGAGATGCCTGGGAGGAAGGGTTCAATGAATGGGGCAAACTGAGGAAAGCAGAAAACAAGGTGAGGGGCAAAGGGCAGAGATCAATGTGAACTCTGGGCTCCCAAGGACCAATCAAGGTCACAGAAGATGTGAGGAAGCTCACCGCCTTCCCGGTCCTCAGGGGGACTAAAGCCACAGAGGTGAGGTCGCCAAGGTGGGCCAGGTTTAGACCCATGGGCCTTCTCCACGCTAACCCACTCCCCAAGCTCTGCGCTAGCTCTCAGGCCGCCATCGATCCCGTGGGCCATCAGTCTGGCCACCCCAGGCCCATGGCACACTTCATCTGTTAGAGAACAGACGCTAGTCAGGAGAGTCTGTTCTCAGCAGTTTTCAGTGGGACGACATTTCTGCGCTAAACCCTCTTCACTCGCATCCAGTCTTCCTTGGGACCAACAACACACAAGTGAAAATCAACCAGTCTTCACAAAGCCCCTACTATGTGTCAGAATGGCCCAGAACATTCTCCCTCCTCACTCCATCACCAATTCCACAGGAAACCTTCCTGCCTCCCCTCGATGGTTATGTTCTGCTCTCGAATGTAAGCTTCCAGAGGGCAAGGGTTGGTTCAGCCATGTCTTTGTGTACCCAGCGGTCAACACGGTGCTTGGCAGAAGAGCGTGCCTGTTGTCTGAGTTGCGCTCTGAGGCACAGTAGGTATCCTAAGAGGTAGATGAGGGAAAGCTACTAGGCATGGAGGACAGACTGTGCCAAAGATGAAGGATGGGTCAGGGTCTGCAGGCTGCGTCACGAAGCCTGGCTGAAGGAACTGGGCACGTTCAGGAGGGCCACAGAAAAGGGACGAGGCCCCAGAGGAGAAATGGGTGGACGTCGCAGAAGAGGCAAACGTAGCCTTGACGTCAGGAATGGCAATGGACTTCCCTGGAGGGCTGTAGGTCCTCCCAACTCAAGGTTTTCCCCTTTCAGAGGCTGCCTGTGGTAGCTGGGTTAGCCAAGATGGCGGCCAAGGCCCCTGCTGCCTTGCCAATGCTGTGACTCACCAACCCAGAGAAGCTTCTAGTGAAGAATTTCACACGGTTCAAGGCCACGGAAGATCAATAAGGAGCATGAAAACCTTCCCGCCCCAACTTCAGGACAGGGATAGGAATGAGGCCTTCTGGGGGGGAGAGTCAGCACCTTCTCTACAATCTAAAGTCTTCCAGAGCTGCGGAGAGGACTGAGGGGTAAACAACAGGCCCAGGCTCACACAGTCAATGCTGCAAGGAGGAGCTGGCTCCCCAACTCCATGGGATCCTCACAACCCTAAAGCATGTTTATGGAAATCAAATCAACAGATCCAGAGTAGCATGAAATAGGTTGCTGCTGAATATACAGTAAAAGCCTTCCCTTTCTCTCTTCTGCAGGAGTACTGACCTAAACCATATACACAATAAGTTCACTAAACAATTAATGCACCATCCTAATTGTGTCTAAAAATCAACTGTATTTCAAAGCCAAAGAAAAGAAAAGCGATGGCTCATACAACCTGTGAGGTCAATTCTTGGAAGGGCCAGAGGCCATATGAGACCCAAGAGGCTATTACAGCTTCAGCTCTGATCGTGGCTGAGATGATTTTCAACCAATTTCCATTCTGTGTGGGTGAAGCATAATCCAAGGGTCATGCAAAGACTCTCAGAGGACCAGCCCCAATAACTGGAGGATCGCAAGATCATTAGAAATAATTGCTTCACTTCAGAGAAGCAGGTAAAAAACAGACCTGCGGACAATGCCAAAATGGGCCTTCCCTTCCCCCCAAGGCCCACCTCCAGCACAGGACGGCCGGGATGACCTGCCCAGACTCACTTGCCATCTGGAACTCGGCGAAGGCCACCCTCTCGAGCTGTACCCGCAGCAGCTCACACGGAGCATCCGTGAGCAGCTGGAAGAGCTTCACGGCCTTGCCATAGTGGAGATCAGCCAAGACCCGGTGCTGCTTCCGAAGGTGCTCATCCCCAACCTGAAACCAAAAAAAAAAAGCGGGTGACCGCTTGACTCGGGACCCTCCACAGAGGGCTCACAAAGCCCTGGGAGAGACCAGAGGTTTCTGGGATGGGGGAGTTGGTTGCCAATCAAATCAGAAAACATGTGAAGAGCTCTGCATCCTTGGGACAGAGCTTAGGTCCCAAGTGCCCCTTGGTGGGGTCATCCTAAGGCCCAGCTTCTGACTCTGTAGCCTAAGGAGTGCCCGGAGGGGGTGGTCAGACTGACCACAGGCCTCCCCTTCCAGCATCTCTGGACACAAGTCACCAGAAGCCTCTCTGCATGCGATGTTCTCTCCTCAAAGGCCACTCACTACCTGTCACTCAGTTCCACTTCAATGCATGAAGAAAATCATTTTGGAAAAGAATTAGAATTATCGGGGATTCACTGCCCTAAAGCAAGCTGGGAATAAAACCAGTGTGGTCAGGGGCCTCTGGAACAAGTGAGGGCGGGGGTGGGGGCGTGTGTATGGCTATGGGGCCCTAACTTTTCAGGCTGATTCATGGGGGGCACACCACACACAGAAACTTTTCTTTGGAGACACTGTCCAAGAGCATGATGATGACCGAGTGCAGACAAGATCTAAAAACGGCCCTCTACCTCAGACCTTACGACTGGAATGCACACCGGACACAAGGGGCCTGCTGGGGTCCCAGACGCCCCACATCCACAGGACGAGCTCATCTGAGGGAGGCGCAGTCCTGTCACTGAGGGCACTGGCTTCTCCTGAGCTCTCAAAACAATTTATGAAGAAAGAAGTGGGGGGAGGGGGAGAAGGGAGGTCGGAGCTACCAGCTTTCCTCACACACTATGGCGATTCAACAGGATCATGAAAACAAACCACGAAGCCGTTTTTGTGACCTAAATACAACGCCTCAAGTGGACAACCACCCACATCACTTTCTCCACAACCTCCACCTGTAAGCAGCCCACAACACAGAGATGTGGGCATTGAGGAAAAAGGCCCTCCCACTATGCCCTGAGCTGGCCTCGAGGGCAGGCCTACCTGGTTCCTCAGACAGCTGTGGTACATGGACGCCAGCCGGTGATGGATCGTCGCGGCCCGGTACTGGCAGAGTGGTTGTCGGGCTGATGTGGTGTCGACATCGCAGTATTTGAGGGATTTCATCATCGCTTCACTAACTTCCTTCTCAACCTATTAAAAAATACCAGGATTAAGTGTGAGCACTTAAAAAGTGCTCAAACCTGCAAGAAAGCTGAAATGCCTTGATAACCAACCCCACTCGTTCCCTTGAGCCTTGGCTCGGCTTCCCTGGGGCCCCCAGCTCTGCGCCGGGCCCTACGGGGCCCTCTGGGGTGCATGTGTAGTACCCCGCAGCCCTGTGCGGGCCTGACCCACCATACAACATGGAAGGACCAGAAGCACCAGCAGAGGAACCAGGACGGGGGCAGAAGGGTCAGAGGAAGCCCACAGTGAGCTCATCTGAGGAGGGGCAAAGAGGGGCCCCTGAGGGCCATGGCGGACAGGGGGCTCAGGGTGCTGGGAGGGCATTTGGGAGTGACCTGCTCCTGAGCCTTTCTGGACAGCGGGGCATAGTCCTGCTGGAGGGTCGCCATGGTGAAGTAAGTGGTGGACAGCTCCCAATTGACCGAGTCCCACACGGCGGGGTGCACGTCTCTTGTACCTAACGACCGCAGGGCCTTCAAGTAGTAATCGATAGCCTGTGAAAGAAGCGACCGACTGCTGGGTTATACCTACTCCCCTTCTCAGAAGAATGACTTCAGATAGTTGGAGGGAATGCTGGATTCAAGTGAAGAGATGAAGTTCAGGGAGCCCCTGAACCCCATACACTGCACTCTCCCCACTGCCCCAGGTGCCTCACACAGCCAGCACATATCAGAGGCAGGACCCGAACCCTACAACAAAACCCAAGGGGTGAACGAAAGAAAACATTAAGATTTCCAGTCACACGACAGCCAGACAAGGGCAGAAGGCATCAGACACCACTGTGTTCTTGGTACAGTCAAAACACACACACTGCAGAGTGGAGAGGAGGCTGTCCCTTTCCACGTCTCCCTGATGGACATGACCCCTGCCGGACAATGGCCCCATGTCTGCCAACCTCCCAGGAGATGCTGCGCCTGCCCCCAAACTCAGACTGAGGCGCACAGCCTCCAAATTCTCCTTTTTGCAAGTAACTTCAGACTCCCTGCGGGGATCCCAAGAACACTGGCCCAACTTCCTTAGGGAAATTCCCTTCAACATAAGAGGCAGGTTTAACCACTCAACAAATCTTGCCTAGATCACAACCTGCAGTTGGAGACGCAGCTCCTCCATTCACAGACCTATCTGGGATGAATGCTGCAGAGACAGCGAGATGGGCTGAGAAATGAATAGGGATCTTCCTGGGAAACGACCCCTAAGCTATTCCCCATCCCCCTGCCGCCCCAAGGAACCTGACTGTGACCATCTGGTTGTGACTCTCAAAAACACTTAGCAGAAAAACTGAATTACAAAAGTCGGTGGAAGGGGGCGCTATGACTCTCGGCAGGCTGCCACACGTCCCCAAGACATGCTGCATCCAAGTGGCATGGCAGGCGAGGACGACGTGGGCCAGGGCTGGTCACAGGAGGAAGGCCTCCAATGTGCCAGAGGAGATGCAGCACAAGATGGTGGGGACGGTCTCCAGGTGGAGGACAGGCTCTTATTAAGCACATACTGCATTCTTGGCCCCAGGGACAGAAGGAGGGGCCTGCACCCGTCCTGGCAGTTTTGGCAGGGTGGTGGTTAGGACTCCTCCACACTCCCCCAGGCGCTCCACAGTGACTCTGGTGCCACTGGTGACCGGGGACACCTCGGGCACAGAGGCTTCTGGCATACTGGGGCACCCGGACTGGACAGATGGCTCCACTGCTGCCGAGGGCAGGCCAGGCCATGGACCAATCACTCAAAAACTAGACCCAACTCTCCCTCCTTCAATGACCAAGGGCTTGGTCCTCCCTGCACAGAAGCAGACTGAGAGTCTTCTGGGACCTAAGACTCAGACTCAGTGCTGTGGCCACAAGCGTCACCATCTCGTCTATTAGGTGAAGAGCCTCTGCCAGCCAAGACAAACCGATGGCCTGTCCCTCGCCAGCCCCTAAAGCCTTCCCAGGACCCGCAGCTGACAGATACAAGCAAGAAGAAGGAGGAATTACCCCCACTCCATGATGACCTGAACCCACTGACTCAGAAAGAACAAAACCCAACCCTAAGAAAATCAGCCAAACTCTACAGAGCCACCTGGAGGGGCGGTGACGTGCTTAATGACCAGGGCCGGCTGTTACCTTATTATAGTACAGCGCCTCTTCAGGAGAGAACTCCCTCCTGGCCTCCTCACCGCCGGCTGCCGCGGCTGCGGCACCATGGGCCTGGGCGCAGATGCGCATGAGTCTGCCCGTGTTGCAAAGTAAGAGCGCGGCGTTAGTGGCATCATCGATCGACTCAAAGTTGTGAATTCCCTTTTCAAAACAAGAGAAGCTTTTCTTCCACAACTGTTGCTCTGCTGCTGACACACTTTTGCTCACTTAACAGAGGGAAAAAAAGCCATTTACTCCACAGCTCGTCTCAGGATAAACCCGCCCCAGAAAGCTCCTCTTCCTACACACCCAGTGGCTCAGGGCAAGGACACTGGACAGGCACCAAATCACGCACGCACGTGGCCCTGGAACGGCCAAGACCATCTACCTGCCTGCCAACAGCATTCTTCCAGATGCTAGGAAATCAAATCAAAGGGGTCCGCAACATCTCTGAGCTTCCAATCAACACTGATAACTGTTTACAAGTATGAAGGTGAGAAGGCAGGAAACCACTCTCACTGAGACCACCTGCTCCCAGCACACCCTCTCGGGGGGCCACGCCCTGCCCCAGTGCCCAAGCCTGTGCTCAAGACTCTGTGATAGAGTTAAAGGCAGGGCTGGTGGAGCGAGGATCCCGGCCGCCCAGGGCTCACATTCTGGAAGGCTTCCCTCCAGCAGCAATGGTGTCTTCCTAACCCCTTCTGAGAAGATGCTGTCACTAAGCTCCTGGCCTGTTGGGGCGGGGGGAAGCAGGGGGAGAAGAAACACTTGCCCACTCTCTCTGTCTGGATAGCGGCAGCCTGATTCATGTAGAAGACGCCAATTTCGTTGCGAATGTTTCCCATTCTCTTCAGCACTTGGACGTAGTGCTCGGGGTTTTGGCTTTTTAAGTCACTAAACAGCAAAATTTCATTAGCAGCCTCATAGCACTTGCAGCTAACTGAAAGCTGGCATTCTAAGTCTGTCGACAGGTCAGTTGCCCAAGCAAAACCTTTAAGAAAAAGAAATAAAAGCAATTGTTATAAAACATCGTGAAACTGAACACTAGCTGGTCATATCCCATGTTCTAGGGTTTCCACAGGACAGGATCAGGAAGAAAGCTGAATGGTTACCCTCACCGACAGAAGACAGACATGCCCGCATACCCAATCCCTCCAGCCACAAGTCTTAAAGACATGTTCTTGGGACAGACCAAAGTTGCATCCCTCTCCCCGTTACACCCAAGGACTGGCACGTAAGGAAGGGGCGTCCGATGAAGATCTAAAGGCCTTGGGCAGACAAGAGAAGACAGCAGACAAGGGCCTCCTGTGTGCAAGGCACTGACAGGTTACCCAGGAGCCAGAAAGGTCAGCTAGAGTCCACCAAAGGTCTCTATCCCCAATTCCCGAGAAACTCCCCTCTGTCCTGACCTAGGTACTTGTTACAAAGAAACAGGGAAAAGAAGCTTCAGTCAGCACAAGTCAGGACCACTTCCAGACAGAAGCATAATCCGACCCCAACTACGTCCGAAGAAAGTTTTCAGGGAACGTTCCCCAGACAGAGGGATAGGAGGCTCAGAGCAGAAGATGAAGAGGCACAGGGTGGCCCCAGATCACTCCCAGTATCCCGTGCCCACCCAGGAGCACTATGAGGAAGCGGGCCACGCCTCCAGGGGCAACGGACAGAAATTAAAAATCACTTGTGGAGAGCCTCCTATGTGCCAAGCACTGTGCTAAGGCCACCCTGCCCACGGGGAGCTCACATGTGAACAGGCGGCTTTGTGGAATGACGGCCAGAGAGGGCCGTTTCGGACTGGAAGTTGCAGAGATGGTGAGTGGAACCCAGGCCAGGTGACCGAGCACAGGAAGACGCCCACAAATTGGCTCGTGACAACTAAGAGTCTGTCGTTGGAGGGCACAACCTTGTCCCAGAAAGGACTCTCTGGGAGGGGGGCCCCCACACAGCCTGTCCAATTAGGCCACTTCTCCTTCTTTCTTCTTCATTTTATAAAGTTTGGGGAGTAAGGGAGGAGGTAGGGTAGACTGAAAAATGAAGGTGATTTAAGAATGCAAGAAGCTTCCTAAACAAAGCCATCATGCAAACTATGCTCTGCCAGCCCAGGCCAAACAGGGTTTACAGCATAAGGTGACACCCACCAGTATGCAGTGGTTTATTCATCAGAGCAGAGAAAGGCTATTCATCTAAGCTACTGAGGACTAGAGGTCACCCCCCACCAGATGGAAAGGCATCAAGAAGGTCCAGCTACATGTCACTCACACGTGGTGATCGACGTCATGCTTAAATACGGGAAAGGTACCATGCTTTAATAAACACTTTAGCCACAAACATGATGTGAGGATGTTCTAAGGGAGGAATCTGCCACCGCGTTCATCATAAACAAATCTGTCTTGGACACTGCTGAGGAGGCACAGACACACAATGCCCCTATGTATTTTAAAGAGGAAATGAACCCCAGAGAAAACGTCACATTCTATTTTCTTCTTCCTGTCACCTGTTGGGGACATTTTATCACCTCTGGAGAGTGAGATAAATGCCAGAGTGACATGTACCACAAATAGAACGGGCTCTGTCCCTCCCCTCCCTCACTGGGCCAGACTCGCCACATTAAGTCTTAACTTAGACTGAATAAACATTATTTGCATAGTTACAGAAGGTAGGTGAGCCCACCTGCGGCCCGTCTCTCCCCAGCCCACAGGAAGCGAATTATTAAACTGGCTTTCACTGAGCGCTGTCCTCTCCAGAGAGGAAGCCCACGGCAAAAGGGAGTTAGATGGGAGAACCTTATGAGAAGAAGAAAGTAAAAAAGGAGATAGAAGCATTCTTGGCCCAAGAATCACTCTATGAGATCCCGAGCAGCCGCATGACGTGTGTGACCAACGTCTGCTGTGGTCTTTCGCTCTCACAGAGGACCGTGACATCAGGAAGATGATGCCACGACTCGCCAGTGCACTGGATTACAGTGACAGAGGGCTGTGCAAAGTCACCAGCCTGGGAAAGATAAGAGATCAGGACCAGAGACGGCCTGGGATGTAGTGCAGCAGGGGACTTTCCCAGGTCTCCATCTGTCTGAGGCAGCGCCCATTCAGTGACTGAGGCTAGGTAAAAAATGAGGCAAAGAACAGCCTCTTCTACTCAGTCAAAAACACTGCTTGCTCAATATAACTCACTGAGGCCACTAGGGGGCGCCACAGGACACAGGCTGAGTCTGGACTTGGGAAGACGTGTTCAAATCCAGCCTCAGGCACTTACTAACTGGGTGACCCCGGTCAAGTTACTTCACCACTGCCTGCCTCAGTTTCCTCATTTGTAAAATGGAGATAATAACAGGGCCACCTCCCTGGGCTGCTGAGGATCAAAAAGATGTGCCTGGTACATAGCAGGTATTACAGAAATGCTGGGGAATATTATCATTAACCAGGACAGATTTCCACCACACCCGCGTATGAGAAAAGCGGCACACTCCTCCAACACCCACAAAAGGCGCCCCCTGTCTGCCAGACTGACCCAGCGCCCTCGCGGCCTACCTTGGCAGCTGGACTCCCGGTGCAGGCTGTGCAGGATCTCTTGGTCCTCCTTGGTCTGATAATTAAACTCCTCCAGGTACGCAGCTCTGTTATTTGCATTCTGGGCAAGCATTAACTGGATATCACCACAAAGAGTCAAATACTGAGAAAGAAACAGGAGGACTTCAGAAAGCATATTGGTGCAGAGGCAGCAATAAGTATCTACAGGGAAATCGGAGGAGGGAAAAGAAACGAGAATTAATGCGCCTGAAGCCACCGGAGCTGCCCCTCCCCCGCCCCACGCAGGGCGCCTCAAAAGGCCCCTACGGAGTGACCGATATGTGCGGGGCCCAGGCGCGACCCTCAAGGGGAAGACATGATGGGCGATCACACATACACATGCACCCCTCCCCCCCACACACACACATGCTGACCCAAACAGCCCAAAGCATCTGCCCAATGGCTTCCAAAATATTCCAGGGGAGGAAAGACCCAGGCAGGAAGGCCGCTCTGAGTGGATGCAGTGTCCACCTCAGGGAAGGAAGGCCATCAAATGGGGACGGAAAGCTAGAGGGGTGCCGGATGGCAAGGACGGCCGGGGCCCCCAGAGCTTCCTGGGGAGGGGACGACCCGGTCTGACCCGTGTCTTTGCCCTGCCGGAAGGCCAGAGCCCGGCCAAGGGCAGCCTCTGTGGGAATGCCCAAAAAGCAATGGATGCAAACGAGAGACATGGGGAAAGAGCCAAGCCAGGAAGGGGCAGGGCCTCTGGTGAAAAGGGAGCTCGGTGTCAGCCGCGTGAGTCTGAGACGACCCAACAAAGGGGGCCAGGACCTTCCGACCTGGGAGACGTCATCCAGCCTTTAAGAGTTGATAAGACCAGAAGAGGAGAGGGGAGGGGAGAGAGAAGAGGGCTCAGGACAGAGCCTGGTAAAAGGAAGGACCCCTGATGATGCTGGGGCAGAGGACGCGGGCAGGAGAATCCCAAATGCTCAGTTAAATGCTTTGGGGGCCAAGAGGGAGGAGATCTGAGAAAGGGTCACTGGATTTATGAACTGAGATATCCCTGGGAACTGAAGAAGCCTGTTTCACTCGAGTGATGAGGACAAAAGCCAGAGACTGCAAAGCAGCCAGGTGTACTATGGAGACGGCCTGAGTTCAAATCCAGCCTCAGGCCCTGACTAGCTGGGTGACTCTGGGCAGGTCAGTTCCTCATCTGTAAAATGGGGATAACAGCTCCCCCTCCCAGGGTTGTTGTGAGAATCCAAAGAGACAAATAAGACATTCTGCCAACAATAAAGCCCTTATCAAAGTTGGCGATGATCAAGATGATGAGAAGGGAGGGGGTTTGGTGAACCAGCTTTCCTGTAGCAGTGGGAGACCTCAGTAGGCCAGGAGTGGGCCAGGACAACCAGGCCAGCATAAAGCTGACCAGGCCTACAGAGAGAACAGACCCAGAGGCTGAAGGCTAGGAGGCTGTGGTCAGAGGGTGGGAGGCTCTCAACGACAGCCCTTCTGATGGGGAAGGGCAGCCCCTGCAGAGGGGGACTGGGAGGGGAGGGGAGGGATTCACTCCTGGGCCCTCCCCCCCGGCATCTCTGACCCTCTTGGAGCCCTTCTTCCCTGGGCGAGCCACTGGCCGGGGTCTCCACTCTTTGGCTCACCCTGGCTAGGCCTCCCACTCTAACAGTTTCTTGCCACCACTGCCCTACACGAGGACCCCCCTCCTTGCCCTCAGACATGCCTCAGCTCCCCTCCCTACTGCGTGTTCTCCTGCCCCACTGGAGGGCAGGGGCTGTTTCTCTTTGCTTGTGTCTGTATCTGTGGGGCTAAGCACAGAGCCTGGCACACAGTAGGTGCCGAGGAGATGCACACAGCCAGCCAACCAGAGAAGGGCTACATATCTCACAACAAAACAAACCTAAAGGGTTGGGGTCCCCAGCCCCATTTCCCTCCAGCTCAGTCACCTCCCTTGTGCCACTTCTGCCCCATAACCAGAGGGTGTTTAGAAGTGGGCAGGAAGGTGGAGTGCAAGGTTTAGAGCAAGGAACACCACCAAGCAGACGATGAGTCCTCGTGGGAGGGTCTCCTAGACTAGCGACCATGAGGTCCAAGCTGAAATTCCGCGCCATGTGTAGCCTAGCAGACTTGAGGCCATGGCGGAGCTGCCTCCCAAGATCATGTGCAGGGGGGAAGCAAGGGGTGGAGTGGCCCCGAGGCAGACTGTGGCCTAACGTGAGCAAAGACTCCCTATCACTTGGGGCTGCCCTGGCTCTCAGTGGGATGACCCCCCACCCCTACCCCCGCCCCGCCTCCAGCTCTGACGGTCAGTAAGCCACTTGACCTACACCACCTTCAGTCACTCACCATGGCTCTGCAAGGCCAGCTTAATGTAGCGCAGGGCCCGTCCGTACTTCCGGAGGCTCATTGCAGCATCCGACAGGATGTAGTAGGCCTTGGACGACTTGAGGATTAGCTGCAGTTTCATTTTATGTTGCCAAGAACCTGGGGTCATTCCAGACTGACTGGCACAGTGGCCTTCCTGGAGGGAGCCCACTAGGAGAGAGAGAGAGGACAACACTGCATTGGGTAGGAAAAAAGGCCCCAGCCCGGGCTCCAGGCCCTAGGCTCCAGGCCCACAGGCAGACTCCCTCCCATCTTCGTCTAATCCTTGGTCTCCCAGGGAAGCCTGGAAGCAAAGACGTGCCCCACCCCCCTGCCAGCCACAACAGCAGCCTGAACAGAAGAAAACTCAGGGAAAATGAGAGCTGTCTTCAAGCTCCGTAGAAGCACTGCTCCCAACTCCCAGGTCGGAAGGGGGTCGACTCCTTAAACAAGGCCTGCCTCCTTGGCCCCAGACCCCTTCCCAGCCGAGATTCTCTGATTCCTAAATGACTTAATTAATGACCAGGCAGTGACAGAAAGCTCAGGGGATGACAGGGCCTCCAAAAGGGCCCAACTCTGGCAGGAAGAACCTGGCTCCCTCTCCTCATATTTGGAATGTCAAGTTTTCCTGTCCCGTTTCAGGGGTACTCTTTTCTCAGCCTTCTCGATACAAGCCTTATAAAAGGGCAGCTCCGTTCCAAAGGTCTTATTTGCATCAATTCAGCTTACTTTTATCTAAAAACAAGGCCATCTGCTTTTCCAGACACTCGGGACCACCACTGGTCGATTCATCTTCATATTTTAATGGGATCGGGGTGTTAGGGTCAGCAGCAGGAAGGTCACTTTCTTTTTTGATGCTGCCATCCACAGATTTTAGACCCTTAGAAAAAGAAAGAAAAGCACTGAGCGTGCGTTTAATTTGGAGGCCACTAAATATTAGGTATAAACAGAAGACGTGAGCTACTGGATGAATAAGTAACTGCTTCTGCATGTGCCCGCCCCCAGTCAGAGCTACGCTGGCTGAAAACGATGGAACCCTTGGTTGTAGCGGCTTAGAAATTACCTCACCGTGCTCTTTCTGCCAAAGAACAATAATCAGTGTTTCTACAGTACCGCCTATGTGCTAAGCAGCACATTACAAACTTCATCTTACTTGATTCTGAGAGGGAGCTGCTATTGTTAGCCCCATTTTACAGTTAAGGAAACTGAGGCAAACAGCAGTTCAGTGACTCATTCAGGGTCACACAGCCAGTAAGTGTCTGAGGCTGTTTCTGAACTCAAGTTCCCCCGGCTCTCCATCCACTGCTTACATTAGCCGTGGACGGCAGCTGCCGGCCCCCTCCAAGCGTTCCCAACGGCCTCCCAGACACTGCAGAAATGCACCAACCTAAAGGTGGCTTGGCTCATGCAGAGTCAAAGTGAACTGACCTCTAGAACATAGCTGAGCACAAGCCTGCAGCGCTCTTCGGTGTCGTGACAAACAGGGAACGCACAACTGGGCTGAAGGAGGCAAATTGGAGAGTTACCTTAATACGCACTGGACACAATCCCCGATGAGCACACAGTTACTCTCCCTTCACAAACAGGGCCCCTGATGTCACACAGCTAACTTGCTGAGTCAGCCCAGGCTAAGAGCAAGTACAGAGAGGACCTCAGTGACTCTGCTCGCCCTGCAGAGCACAAATGACTTAGGCAACTAATGCTGAGGAGGTGCCCCGATATTCCAGCGGCCCCCAAGCAACCACAAAGCATCACACGGGAGCCTGCTCCCCAATTATGTGGCCAAGGGCATAACTCGTATGTCATAAGTGGAGCGCAAGACTCTATCTTCGTTAGGAATTCTTAATTAAACCTTCATTGTTGTCAAACCTTCAAGCTCCTGTTGTACTAATGGAATTCTTGGACAATATAAAGAGCTAACATGCAACTTCTGAAACTGGAGATTTTAAAAGATCAGTTTTTAAAAAATCGAACAAACTTATGTGGCTGTCATTACAGCAATAGCAACTTCATAAAATTTTTAAGGAAAACAATTAATGGCAGGAATAACTTAAGTCTTTGCATTTTAATCTTACGTTATCATTCAACCTTTAAGTATAGCCTATAAACCAAGACACTTTATCAGGGTTAGAAGACTGAGGGTTAAAAGTACTGAGAGCACATTAACAGAACTAATGGGTCAGTGCTGACTTGTCCTGTCTCTGTATCCAACTTTTCTATCAATGACTTGATAAAAACGAAAGACAGAAGGCACGCGGGACTTCTTTCAGATAACATGAAGTCTGGAGAAAAACCACACACTAGAAGGCAAGAGTCCAGATCCAAAGACCTCAGTAAACTAAGACAAGCCAAAGTAAACAAGAAAATTATATTTAATAATAATACGGATAAAGAGGTTACATTCTAAACTTCAGACTGAAAACAGACAAAGTGAATCATGAGCCCAAGGGCATCCAGGATGGGGAAGGGAGAAGGAGCCCCAGCTAAACAAGCCAGGAAGGGTTCCTTGGAGATGAGAAGACTTGGGGGGGAAGTCGGCTGTCTTCAAGCTGAAATTTGGTTACGTAAACCTAAGGCACAGTGAAACCGTTTAAAGTCAAGAACAACGATCTGACCAGTTTTGGTTTTTTTTTTTAATGTCACCCAACCGCACCAGTATCTCTATCACACTATTAATCTGCAATGGCTCACTCGGATTTGATGAATGGATTTGTATTTCTCGGGCACGGACAGCTCTCCCACAGACTTAATCACGGCCACGGCCTTCTGGTCGTCAGGGGGGTCAGAGCTGGTGCCATAGGACCCATTCTCGTCGCTGTCCGGCATCTCCTCCTCGTCCTCGCTGTAACTTTCCTCAGAGTTCTCATTTAAAGGAGACTCTGAACTTTCTTCCTTTTTCGGTTCATCCAACTGAAAGAGCTCGGAGAGCATATAATTGGCCGAAGCAATAATCTGAACAAAAAAGAAGCAGAGAAATAGGGATGAGTGACTACTGTGAACTGAAACCATCCCAATAAAGCCGATTTCCAATGCAGGAAATGCCTGCTGACGAGTCCCATTCCACACACAGGCCTCTCAGGGAGATCAGAAGCCCTCCAGCTCAAGGGTGGATGACAAGGCTTAGATACAGAACAGGACCAAACAAAGGCTCTCACTGGTACGATCAGAGAAACTGAAAAAGTATTACAGAAAGGAAAGCTCTGGAGGAAAGCCATCCAAAGCACTCATGCCAAGAACAGGTCAATTCTTCAAAATAATTTCTTGTCACCAAACTGAGGATGTTTAAAAATCCTCAGAGACTGCTATCTATGCATCACAAAATGAGAAAGGTTCCCTGTTACACTGTCGGAATGTACACTACTGTCCATTTTAAGGCAAGGCAAAGTTATCTCATTTTCTGCACAAAGTGGAGAGAATTCCTATACCAACTCATCAATGGCTTGACGTTTTTCCCCTACTGAGGAAGGCACTTTGTAAAAGGACACATGCAGACATGGGCTGCGAGCTTTAGGCCCTTAGCTCCTGAAGAAGCACTTTTCTCACTAGGCCCCATTCCAACTGAAAAGGCCCCAAAGGGCGAGGCTGGAATTTCTCTTTGCAGCCACCAAGATTTAGTAGAGAGTCCAAGCTGACAAAACGAGGGCGTCGTAGTTTGTTCTCGGTCCATGGCTCTGGAAAGTGGACGGTAAGTAACGGCCGCCCTCGGAGGTCTGATCCACTTGCTAGCCTCATCTACCCCTTCTTGGCAGCGCCTTCCCAAAGGGCCTGGCAACAGGGAGGCTCTGAATGCCAAGAGAGGCCAGATGACTGGTGCGAAACCAGAGAATGGGAGAATAAAAGACAAACATCCCATTTTTCTGCTCAATGAACTGCGTGAGACATTTAGATAGGAAGGTACATTGTCACCTCTCCATCGATCTTGACCTTGGGTTCTCAAGCACCCACAATCAGACATGACCACAGTAAGAAGCAGTGTGGCCTGAGAACACCTGGCAAATCCACCCTCCATCAGAACACTTTATCACACATCTACTCACTTCCCCAACATCCGAATGATTCAGACTAACCGGGGCGTTCTTAAAAAGGAGATGACGTTCCAAACCAAACAAAGGCCCCCACATCCCTTGTTTTCCCCATGCTGACTAAACGCATTTGAGATGACTCCGGATGATCACACACACCAGACCTCTGAAGGCACAATTTTAAAGCACATATAAAATATAATTTTACTTGAGGGTGTCTTCCCTTGTCCAGTAATTTCAGACAATTAAGAAGCAATGTTCTGATTGTTCCATAGTGTTTCTTATTTTGATTTTTCTTCATCATCATGTTGCAAGCAACCCTACAAAAGAACACAGAACCACACACAGACGTTTGGCCAAGACGACTCCATGGGAGCCGCCCCCACCCCATCACAGCTCCTGCTGAAGTCTGCACGGCCTTGTGGAAGACCGGATGCTCCTCCTCTCTGGCGCCCTCTCCCCAAGAGGCACACCCCCACTCACTTGTACAGGAGAATGGCCACAGGTACCGTGAAGGGGTTCTGGTATTTGTCCTCAGTTTCTTCACAAAGGGTGGTGAGGTCATACAGCTTGACGATGTCACTGCCGCTGGCTGAAAGAGAGACCCCAATGTTTCGCAAGGCTCTGCCACCCAAACGATGGTCCCGCTCAGCTCTGAGCCATCCCAGAAACTGGCTTACCTTTAAACAGCCAGTAGGTGTGCCCTTCTTTGGTGCAATTGGATTTCAGGAATGACAAAATATTCTGGGCAATATCTTTTATCACTTTAGTAGAAAAATTGGAGTTTTCCAAATTGGGAATCTCTTCTGTCTTGATCATTTCATATTTCTATCAAGATAAAGACGAAGGACTAGATTTAAAAGAAAACCTTAGGAGCAGAAGACTTGTGCAGGTATAGCCTCTGGATAAGCCACAAGGGAAAACGGCAGACCCCAGGGCTTCCCCAGGGGTACTTTTATAGTAGGGGAAAGAGGGAGCCACTGAGGAGTGTGGAAAAGAGGAGGAGAAAGATGCAGCCTGGGTGAGGACTGACACGGCAGGAGATTCAAACCTGCTGAAGGACTGCAGCCCCAAAGCTGCTATCAATAGTTCAACATCCGTGGGAAAGGAGGCCTCAAGGCCCTACACTTCTTTGTCTCTTTCCCCAGAGCCAAGCCTGGAGCGTGGCACACAGTAGGCACCTGAATGCTTGCTGACTGGCTCAGGGCGGCCTCATGGCACCATCAAGGACCCAGGCATACTTCAAGCGGCAGAGGGCACACACCTGGGAGGGACGGCTAAGATATACACGGACTCTAGCATAGCACTGAATGGAAGAATACGCACTTCACAAGTACAAGAAGGAGGAGGGCATGGCCAGAAAGCCGCCTGCCTGAAGAAGACCTAGAGATTGCAGCGAACGCTGGCCCTGGGGTCAGGAGAGCTGGGGTGACATCTGGCCCCAGACGCTTCCTTGCTGGGTGCTTTTGGGCAAAGCCTTCACCTCAGCGAGCCTGTTTCCTCATCTATAAAATGGGAACAATAACAGCCCTCTGCCCGAGTTCTAGCCACACGAGGCTCTTAGCTCTACGACCCCCAGGGCCCTCCTGAAAATGCTGGGCTGCCCCCTGTCCCTGCCATTTTACATACAACATCACCACCACCAGTGAAACATTCACAAGCACTGGTGTTTCTCCCTGAACGTTACTTTTGGTTAGTATAGATTTCCTCTCCTGAAATACCATGAAAACCCCTCTCTACTTCGGTTTTCAGTACTAACAAGCAACAAAAAAGACAGCTATCTGCAGCTCCCCGTACCTGTACGATTCCATTCACATGAAAGCACATCACCAGCTCGGGCACATTGCAGATCAAGTTGTCCAGCCAATAATCAATTCCAGTCAGCACATTAATCGGTTTGTTGTTATCCCTGAAAATGAACAACTCTTGGGTCAGCAGACTGAGCTGGCATATTCCTAGAAGCTCAACTCGTGCTGAATCTAACAGTGGGGCAGAGGAGGGCACCCGCAGTTAACATCAGAATGAAACGTCGCAGCAGACAGCCAGCGAGTCCAGGACGAGCGTCACACACAGTCCAGCACAAGTGGATTGTCTACGCCAGAACACAAGTGGGCTGGGTTTGTGCGATGGCTAAATATTCTCAGTTACCCAAGGATAGTTCTCCAATAGCTACTCAGGAAAGGCCCTCTCAGATAACAGCTAAACATTTCTACCTACTAATTTTATCACCAAAACTCTGAGATTGAGGTTCAAGACCAAGACAAAAGTTTTTTTTTTCTCCCCAGTGGCCAGCCCCCAAAGCCTCCCATGCCAAAAAGAGAGCTTAAAGGATTTTCAGCATAGGTTAGAAGCCCTGGTTCCCTTTTTCAGCAGCTACAACTGGGAAAACATCAAAACAAAAAGGAGCAGTCATCCTACTTCGCAGTGCCACAAAACAAGCCTATCAATTATAGTGATCACGATGAAGACCAATACATTTACAAGGCACTTGGCAGTTTCCAAATTGGTTTGCCATAGGTGACTTCCCATGACCTTCACAGGCCCCGAGCCATTCTGGTTACTCCTATTATCGAGTCCAGAAATCTGCTGGCTAATAAGCAGAGAAGACAGATTTCTTGGCAGTTCAGTGCATTTGCCATGACTTCGTAACTTTCTCAGTATAAGACGTTAAAGCAAATTTCACAGTGACACTGGGAACTATACAGTAAAAGAAAAATGCATAAAAGGACATCAGGAGAGGGAAGCAACTTTCAACTTACCTGAGGCGCAAGCTAACGGCAGGATATCGTCCTCCCCCAAATATGGGCATGTTTGAGCCCACCAACATATGTATGTCTTCAAAGGTCCACAAGATATTCCGAACAAAGTCATTTTTAAGACCCTTTGTTTAAAAAAAAAATCACTAAATTAGAAATTTTCACCTTAAGTGCACCACATTTTCACCTATGATCCACAGAAAGACTATGAAAGAAAGATGAAGGAAAAAAGAACAAAGAAACTACACTATACAATCACAGTAGTTATTTAAGTATCACAGATGCTACAAAAAGCTATTTCTAGAAGTAAATGGACTTCTTCCCCTACTGATTCCAACTGAGACCAACTTTTAAATGATTAAGTAAATTGAGAATTAGGTCTTTGAGCTCAGATACCACAGAAAGCATACCTGACTGTTCTCACCGTCATTGAATAAAGTAGTCAGGTTTTGTTCTTTTGGGGCTGAGGTCACATGCCCCACTATATATGAGGGTTCAAGAGGCTCACTTCCCTGTGAAAAGTGCAAGGATAAGGAGTGATTCTGCTGTCATCATAAAAAAGCGCCTACTTTTCACGTACACTAAGCCAAACATTCCAAGTACAAAGTAGTACAATCCTCCAGTCTATTCGGAGCCCCAACACCCCCATTATGGCATCTTTACCCCGGGGGCTGGGGCAGCACCCCAGCCACAATGACTCACACCGAAATTATTGATAGGAGGGTAAGACCAGAATTTCCTCAAGTGAGGTTCATTGCCTTTTGAAAAACATCAAAAGCTTACTTTTAAGGTCCAGTTTTTTGTTTTCTCATTGACCTAATGGTCTGACCAAAAGGACAGACTCACACAAGGAAAGAAGCCTAAGCAATGGTGGGAGAAGCCCACTCATGCTTGCGTGGCTGACTGCACTACAGGCAGGAGGAGGAAGAAACCTCTTGGTTCACAGGACAAATCTGGCCATCGGCCTCACTCTGCTCGTCCAGGAGGCAGCACCATTAATTCAGACTGTGGTTGGACCCAGAACCTGCTCAGTGTGCACATCCTGAAGGCGAGTCTTTGCAGCTGGGTGTGTGTGGACCTTCCCACCAGCCAAGTCTTCTTACCCATTCTCTCTCTCTCTCTAACAGGCATAACATAGAACTGACGCTGTGCGTCCTATGCAGTTCGGGTGGGGGGGGGGACCTGCGGCCTCGAGGCCACATGTGGCCCTCCAGGTCCTCAGGCATGGCCCTGTGACTGAATCCAAACTTCATAGAATAAATCCTTTCAATCACAGAACAAATTCCCTTAAGAAAAGGATTTGTTCTGTGAAGTTTGGATTCAATCAAAGGGCCAGGCTTGAGGACCGAGAAGGCCACGAGTGACCTGGAGGCCACAGATTCTCCACCCCTGCTGTAGCTGATCTATATTATGACTGCCCTAACTTCTGGGGTCCAGGGCTTATATGACTTGGGACCAAGGAGAAAACAGAAAAGGAGGCGTCTCCTTCCCTCCTGGGCGCAGATTCACCCACCCCCAGCGCATTCTGAAAGGGGCCGAGTTTGTCTTGGGCATCTTCTCATTCCAGTCCCCTCTTGCTGGTCCCCACCCTGGGCCACTGCCTACTGCCTCATCTCCCAGCGCCCAGGACCCAACGTAGTCAGATTACCCATAAGAGGCACACAACAGACAGCTCCCGAATCTTCCCAAAGATTCTGACGAGGGAACGCCTGGCTGACTGATGCCTCTGGCTGATGGCACCTTTGGCAGAGCAGCACGGTGATGCCAACTCCTTCGGCAAAGGGGCAGACGTTTACGTGGTGCAGGGCAGCTGTGCCGCCGAGTCTTGCCTGGTGCTTGCTCCCTCAAACTCTCCCCACCTTCCCCAGCTTCTTCCCTTTACCTATTTCTGACCCTTTGGCTTTTAGGCTTCATTGCAAGACACCTCCAAGTGGGAAAGGGAACTTCACTGCCGCAGAGGAGGGGGACAGGCCAGGGGTATGTTAGGGGTCATTTGTAAGCAGGGAGTTATAAGGACATTGCCTATATTTATCAGATAGTTCTAAGCTTACTTTTCTTAATTTTAGGTGACAAATACAGGCACATTATTAAGTGAGGCATTTCCTTAAGATGCTTTAAACTGCTTTTTAAAAACCCATTCTAAACTTAAAAACAAAGAACACTTTTGACTTGTTATACGTAATAATATATTGGCACACACACATAAGGTTCATCCTCTGACTATTTCTAAACCTGACAAGGAAGACATCGCAATTGGCTGAAACCGTAAGAATAAATTATGCTAAATTCCTGAGATTCTGAACTTGTTACAATCATTCTTTTTTGGTCCAAAAGGACTAGGACAGACTAGGACAGAGAATTTTCTTGCCTGTGATAACATGCAGGAGGCTTCCTTAAAGAGAGCTGGTTAGCATAGGAGGGACACCCTAGCCCGGCTGGAGCATTCAAATGAATTCATTAAAAGGGTAATATGACTAAATATCACCGCATAATGCTACTGGACTGAATTATAAGATGGTTTAGAATTAAGAATGTGGAAATGTTTAAAGTCACTCGTCTTCAGTAATACTTCAGTTAATAAAAGGACACAAAATGATCACATGCTGTTAAATCTGTGATGGAAGAAAATGAAAACGCCCACATGAACTCACTCACTTCTCTGGCATTTGGTTTTCTAAGCTTGTCAACACTACTGTCAGACTAAACAGAATATGCCATCTGACCACATATGGGGGCACTCCCCTCTTTGTTAAACAGGGACAGGGATGGGAAAAGCCATGCGGAGGGGAAAAGGGAAGCCAGAAACTGAAAAGGAGACACACAAAAAGGCCCCGAGCCTCAGTGTTCATCTTCTCTTGCGTCTAGCCTGAAGGAAAAGTGAGATGGGGACTTCTGCTATTTTCCTGGGGCCCCTAAACAAAGGAGCCATGAAGGATGGTCAGGCTGGGCAGGTCAGCGAGTCGCATCATTGACTAAGCACCCCTACGTGCTCCAAACACAAAATTCAAACAATCTATGAGGTAGACAATTGACTACCCACAGACTCACCACTGCCTGGAGTCCCATAGGTGGTAGTGAAACTAAGAAAAAACGGGGAACTTCTGTGTACTAACTGTATCTTCAATTCTAATTCTGTCTCCACAGGAGCTCTAGAAACCCAACAATTTAGGCTAAGTGGACAAAAGAGTCCTTGTTTCTTCAAATCCACAGTCCCGAGGAGAGCAGTGCATCCTCCTCTTCAGCCCTTCAGTTTTCGTCCCCTTTATTCTCTGCCACAAGTGAGCACTGACGTGCTGGCTGACTGACCTGATTAGACGCACTTGGATCATCAGAAACAGAGGCCGGCATCTCAAAAGGGGCAGGCCAGGAAGCCCCTTCTGTGTCGTTGTGTGTCTGATTTGGGCTGGGAGGGGCTCTTGGCTCTGCCGCAGAGGGGACAGGCTGAGCGGCACCATCGCCATTAATGCTGAAACACAAAGCCAGATGCCTGAGTGCCACCATTCAAGAATGGTGCCCAGGGCACCAACAGGACCTCCCAACGCTTCCTGCTGACAAGGCTAAGCTGTCTGGCCAAGTACAGGGAGCCTCTTGTGAACATTCGACTAAAATGCTCAAAGTAAACTTTTAAAACTTTTATGCACACAAAACTCCAACATTTAAATAAATACAATGCCATCTCACTAGTGTCAATAGATACAGACTGTCTGAAGCCAGAGATTCCTTAATTAGGAAGGATAAAGTATGGCGCTGAGTACCTGTAATATAAGAACTTGGAAAGAATCGCCTTCTGGTACCAATGCTCTTTGCTCTTCTTCTTCCTCTGCCACTTCTGATCGATGAGCCGCTGGTAGAACTCCTTGAGCCACGTCCAGTCTCCTGTCTGAGCAAAATTAGAGGGCATTAAATGCCACCATAAAATCTGGTCAAAATCATGGGTCACAGGTCCCTTCCCTAGAGGACAGGAAAAAACTTCCGTTCTCAGACATTACTTAATAAAATATGCCCTTGCAGAATACTGATAATTTTAATGAATGTCATTTCTTAAGACAGCAATTTAAATAACTGAAAACCACTGTGAAGGACTGATGGACAGACATATGGACACACAGACACACAGAGCAGGATATCACTGGATAAAACATCCAAAAGTAATTGAGGAGAGAGCGATCTATCATAGCTAGTTCAGCCTGACAATCTACTGAAGCCAGAGGGCAACAGATGGACACAACAGGAAATGGGTCAGTGTTCTTACAGAGATCTGCTCTGGATTATTTCAGGAAGCCTTCCTCAGCCCCATTTAATTCTAGCCTCTTCCCTCTGTCAATAGTTCCTGTTTATCCTGAATAGAGCTTGCTTTGTATATACCATTTATATGTCATCTCTTCCACTGGGTTGTAAGCTCCTTGAGGGCAGGGACTGTCTTTTGCCTCCTTTTGTATCCCCAGCACTTAGCACAGGGCCTGGCACACAGTAGGTGCTTAACAGATGTTGACTGACTGATTGGAGTTTCATTATCCCAAACAGCTAATCTTGCAAAACTACTTAACACCATATGACTGGATCATAGAATAGCTATTAGATAGATAGACAGATCATAGAATAGATCAGAAGAATTTGTTACAAAATGAATGGATGAATTAAACATTGTATTAAGGAGTTACCATGTGCAAAGCACTGTTACTGAACACTAGAGAGACAAACAGAAGATCAAGATCAAGATAATCTCTGGTCTCCAGGAGCTCACATTCCAGGAGGGGGCACCACACACAGAGGTGGATTCACATGTAAAGAAGGTCCTTAGGAGAGAGCAGCAGAGCAAATGAAGACATACGGTGCCATAAACTGGCTGCAATATGTTAACAATGACTTGTAAGTGAGTACAATACAGCCAGTCAGTCAACCCACATTTATTAAGCAACCATTCATTAAATGCCAGGCACTGTGCTAAGCACCGGACAGATGATGAAAAATATGTATTCCTGACTAAATTCAAAAACCACAATTAAGTGCCTATTGAACAAAAAGACCTTTATGTGAAAATTTAAAGTTAAAGTAGGATCCAGTACCCATCTTCACAAAGCTTCGTCTAGTACAGTGGTTTTCAAAGTGTACTCTGGGGGACCCTGAGGCCCTTTCAGGGGGTCCATGATGTCGAAATCATTTTCACAATAACACTAAGACATTTAATTTCTAATATAGCAAATACTGACAGACATAAAGCCCCAAAACAAAGCTCTTTGAGGGTCTTCAATAATCTTTTAAATGATAAAGGGTTTCTAAGACCAAAACTTTGGAGAATGAAGCAGATAGGCTGGTCATGTTGCAAGAACGAAAAACAGCAGAAGGAACAATCTGAATGCCATTCTGGTACGTCCAGATATTAAACGAACAGAAGGAAGGTTTTCAGAGCACTGGACGGACACTCTAGGATGGACTTTGGGAAAGCAAAGGCAAGAACTGCTCAGAATAAGGCATGGAGAGCTTATAATGTGCCTTGATAGCATAAATGTACCCATAAAGATGCAAATATGGATCTTTCAAAGCACATTCTGCTATATCAAAACATCAGAGAATCAATTTATTTTTTTGCAATACTGAGACGAATGCATCCTAAGCAAAGATGACACTTGACAACACACTAATAAACATCTTAACAAAGATGATGGCTGGTTTTCCTCTAACCATCTTACCTGGGATGATCTCATGAAGAGTTCCTGAATATCGAGCTCATCCAGAAGCAGAGTCCTTCCAATGCGATGGACAGCCATGCTCACATGGGACTTACTATAGGGGATCTTCAGCAGCTTTTTTATGTTCTTAGAAGAGAGAAACAAAACAAAACAAAAAACACCAATGTGGCAAGAAATTCTTGTCTTAGCTTTCATTTAGATTACAACAACCCAGCTGAGTTTCTTTAGGTACAAATAAATAAATAAATACTTTTTATCAAAAGTTACACTTAAGATACCCAAGCTTTAAAAAGCAGGATCAGGGAATTATTACATAATGTGCTACATTAACCATGTTCACATGGGTATGTACCTATCTTTTTTTGGTTGTTGTTTTAATCTGCTGAAGTTTTCAAAAACGGTAAGAATCATGGGCCACAGACACCCTAAATCCCGGCTCTACTTCCCCACGCACTGAAGTCTCCCCCCTCTCAATTCCTCTGCCCAAAGGGCAGATGAACCAGACCAACTCCCAATCAGCCAACTTTAAAGACTGACATCGTCAAGGGACGAGCAATGGTGGGTACATACTTCTGAATCAGATACCACGTCCACGTCATTTCCAACAGAGTCAATGAAGTCATACGCCATACCAAAACTATCAGAGAGAAAGAAACCATGGATTAAAAGGGAACACATGTAGGCTTCTTAACTTGGTATCCATGAAGCTGATGGACAGATTTCAGGGGCCTGTGAGCTTGGGTGGAGGGAAAAAAAAATCACACTTTTATTTTCATCATGCTTTAACTGAAATCTAGCATTTCCTTTAACTACAAATTTTTTAAAATGTATTTTTTTTTAAAGTGAAGCAAATGGGGTTAAGTGACTTGCCCAGAGTCACACAGCTAGTGAGTGTTATGTGTCTGAGACTGGATTTGAACTCAGGTACTCCTGACTCCAGCGCCAGTGCTCTATCCACTAAGCCACCTAGCTGCCCCCCCCCTTATAATTAAAAATGTATTCTTAAAAGGGGTCCATAGGCTTCACCAGACTGCCAAAGGGCTATCACAGGGGTTCTTGATGCAAAAAAGGTTAAGAATCCCTGTTTTAGGAGACTGTTTTAAATCACTAAAATTACTCAATATTGTTATGATTATAAAACTCAACAAATGAGACATCTGTGAAGCACTTAGCACAGGGTCTGGCACACAGTAGGAGTTTAATAAATGCCTGTTCCCCTCCCCTAAAATTCTAAAATCCACTTTGTGGACAAGGAATCGGCCAACTAAAGATATTTAATTTTTGGTGCAGGGAAAAAAAAACAGAGCAGAACACCAAAATGACATCTGGTGGTCTTTCAGATCCATCAATGCAGAAATGCAGAAATCACAGTGATCCTGAGACAATTCTAAGAGTAAGTAATTTTGTTATTTTATTATCCTGACTCAGCAGTTATGCTGTGGCAAGACTTTTAGAGTCAGAATCAGGAGATCTGGGTTCTAATCTTGGTTCCAGCATTAACAAGCTATGACAAACCACTTACCTTCTGGAACTCGGATTTCTCATCTATTAAGTGACAATGGACTCAGGAAGACACAAGATAAAGTCTTACTTCTGAGACTTATTAGCTACATGACCTTGGGCAAATCACACAATGCCCAAGCCTCAGTTCCTCCTTTGTAAAATGAATGGGTTGGATTAAATCACCTCCTAGCCTGGTCACTCTATGTTGCTTTTTGGATACAGGGAACAGATGTCAGAAGATTAAGAGATGAACATATTGATTAGCCCAGGTTGTTAACACTGTGGAAATATCAAGGACTTAAAAGATCTTGAGAACCATCCCCATTTCACAGTTTTAAGTATAGCCAAGTGGCGTAAAGATGTGGGTCCAGTAAATGACTCGTTTTTAAAAGGGATGCTGTACACAGCTGACTCACAGCCTTTGAATAAGATTTGTCAACATTCCTGTCTGTCCTCCTCCCATTTCTTCAAGCTGTAACACGTATAGGACCATACCTAGTAGCCACAATTAGGAGTGACTCTCCTGACACAATGGAGGAGTAGGCGTCAAAGCTCCCCCGCCTTGCAGGTACCAGCAGCCTCCCAAGGTAGAAGCTCACAGGATTTAGACCTAGGGGGAACCTCAGAGATCATTTCTTTCCTAATCCAATTCCTTCTTTCTACCAATGAGAAAATGTAAGTCTAGAGACGGTGAAGTGACCTGTTCAAGATGGTGCCTGGAGCAGACAGCATCTGCACCCAAAGCCTTGGACTCCAAAGCCAGTGCAGTCTCTGTTCAGAGGAATGGTTCCCTGGACTCACTGATTCAATGAAAAGAGAAATAAGCCTCCAGACAGGAGTCATTCAAATAAACAAGTGCTATAAATGATGGCTCTAAAATCAGGGAGCTCAGTCTGAATCCTTGCAGTGTTCTACAGGACCTCTATGAGTCTGCTTCTTCCTCTGTAAAATGAGAGGCTGGGCCCAGCACCCTACTTCCTTCAAATTCTCAACTCTGAGGAGTTTATGAATGCAAAGTAAGCATGAAACACCGAAGCCACAGATTCAAACTCCTCTACGTGACAGCTTTGGTTCCTGGATGAGCCTTCAGGCAGATCCACAATCTCCTTTCACAGCACCTGTGAAGGGCAATAAGCAGACCAATGGCTCCACGTTCCTCCGCCTGGTTCGGTGGTGGCAACTCCACCACTGTCCAGAGGCCACCCACTGAGCAGTGGGGCTGCGGTCGGCACTGAGGCGAGGCCCCACCCTGACACAAGCACAGATCTCAGTGTACTGACAGCAGGCCCAATAGATATACAGAACAGCAGCCATGCTGGAAAGCCGAAAAGGCACAGGACTGCAAGCAAGAGCGTTCACTATCCATACAAGCACGGAGAAGCTGCTTCATCTCTCTGGGCCTCAGCTGCAGCATGTACAAAGAGAGAGCTGGCCCAGCAACCATTTCTAAGCATCTTTCAGCCTTTAGATACCCATCCTGTCATTCCACAATCAGCAGAATTTCCAGCAAACACTAACACGTATCTGTGAAGATGCCTAATGTTACTGTAAAGCATGCCACTTCATGCCTATGGACACACCCCAATCCCCGCCATTTGAGTCTACCCCTCCAAGTTTCCAATTTTCATGCAAATATTAGCTCCATTCACTCAGTGAGAGATCAGGTGTTTTGGTGTTTACATGTATAGAAAACCAATGGCTAAGAGCAACAGGTGACTGCAGGCCTCTGAGCATTTCAGAAGAGCCAAGGGCCCCTCAAACGGATTCCTGTGGAAATTCTGCAGACGATAAACTTGATAATTTGACCCTTTCACAGGTACTTTTTTAAAGGGTCTAAAGACAGAGCATCATCACTGCTTCCAGGATGACTGTCATTACAGATATGTAAAGTCTCAGCAAGAACAGAGAGAGTCCAGCCCGTATCAGACGCTGGCTTACCTGGAAAAGGGTTTGCTCCTCTTACTGTTGCCTAGAATGGTGGTTCCCGCTGGGCCAAGTTTGGCACTTTCCCGTAGCCAGTTGGCAGGCGGAAGCTTTAGGTCCGTTTTCTCCTCAAGGCGGGCAAAAGCAGTGCGGGGAGGGGCAGATGAATACTTCACCACAGCCCTACTCTTCACTTCGCTGCCTCCCAGAAGTAACACCGATCCCTGTTTGGCAAAAGCATATCACTCACGTTTCTCCCAGAACCACAGAAAAAAATGCTCGATAGTTTTTTAATAAAACAAATTCTCTGATCAGGGCTACTAAAAGGAACCAAAAATTTTGTACCATTATTTAGGGGAGAAAATTATCACACTAGACTTAATTCCACATTGTTAATTCCTGCTTCTAGAGAAATTTATATTTATGGTGGCCCTTCCTGTCTGTTAATTTCAAAATAACACAACTAGTCAATATTATAACTTATGTTTTACTCTTTAGCTTACAAATGACCTATCACATAAGCTACTTTTTGGCTTGTCCTAAATAAAATGTAAAGGGACAACTAGGTGATACAGTGGAAAGAGGGCAGGGCCTGGAGTCAGAGGACTCATCTTCCCGAGTTCAAATCTGGCCTCAGACACTGAGTAGCTGAGTGACCCTGGGCACAGAATAAATAAAATGTAGAAACAGGCCATAAGTAATTTACATAATCAAGAAAGGGTTTTGGTTAAGTCATTTCTATGGGTAGGTGAGGGCTTAACCTCAAAGCTTAAGGTAGACCAATGGGATACCCTTCCCTCTGTGCCCCCTGCCATCCAGGTCCACACAGGCCCTGGCTCCATCCCCAGCCTGACATCTGCGGCCTCTGCCCCCCCCCCCCCGTCTTGCACTTGCAGGCCCATCTATCTGTGCTGCAGCTGAGTTTCCTTTGAAGGACTGCTTCCCCCAGTACGAACGTAGCTCCATGAGGGCACTCACTCTTGTACCCTCCCCACTCGGGGAGCACTGGACAAATGCTCCCTCACTCACTGCCCCACTGCCAGCAGATACACTCTGGATTGGATCCCCTCCAAGCCTGACCGTGCATCCCAGGCACTGGGGTCGTTCCCCAAGGCCCCGCCCTAGTCAGACTCTTTCTCTGGGGCTCAGCTAGGTACACCACGGCTAGCTCAGAATAGCCCCTTAGACCCGGCTCTGCTGCCAATTAACTGTGTGATCTTCAGCAGGTCATTCATCATACCTCCGGGCTTGTTCCCTCATCTGTAAAATGAAGGGCGGCCTATGTGAACTGGATGGTCCCTTTTAGATTTATGACTCCAAAACTGTATGAGACTAGGGAACCCAGACTGTCAGTTACTAGCAGTGTGACCCTGGAAGTCACTTTCCTAAATTGAGGTGATTTGGGGCCCCAGTCTTTCCTTTCGTAAGACTGGAATATCTACCTCGTTTTTTTCCCACGGAATTATGAGGAAAGTGCTTTTCGAGTCTGAAAACAGAATATGAATATGAGCTGTTTTTAACCTCTGAGTATTTCTTTATTTCTCAAACGAGGATAAGACGTCTCCCATATAAAAGATTCACAGGTTTTACAGCACGAATTGACCTTAGACTCCCTCATCTGACATATAAAAACTGAGCCCCAGATCAGACTGAAAGGAGCCAATCAGTCAGTAGCAACAGAGGGCCTCCAGCTACAATCTAAGTGCTCTCCAGTACCACCCTCAGTCATAGGAAGAAAACACATCTCATAAACCTTCAACAAAGACCTTCCTAAGTGCTTTCAAGGTTTGTACCTTCCTTGCCCAGAGAAGGCGTTCCCTGTAAAGCTGTCCTTTCCAACATGGCGCACTGCCTGGGAAAGGAGACGACATGGGCTATAAAACAGCTCCCTGCAGTTCAAAGAACTCCACCTCCTCTGACCTGGTCTTGGGGAACTCTGAAATACACAGGGATGCTCCTTCACAAATGCTAAGTGTCTTCCCAGTTCTTCATACTCTGCGCTCCCCATAACCTACTCTTCCACTCTACCTCATTTATCCAGAGACAGGCATATCCTTCATTCGCCACCTCACACAACTGTTCTACTTTCATGCTCGTGACTGCCACACTTCCTTTATCTGAACGAAATCTATTCTAACTCCATCTTTCCCTCTGCCTTAGGACCCCCGAACCTGCTCTCTGTCCTCACCACAACCATCACCCCACGATGGCCCAGGCTTTCCTATCTTGACTCCTCAGTGAACCTGTCCAACGTGACCTCACACTCTACTCTTAACGTCTGGGACCTCTGGTCTTACTGTAGCCCATTACCTCCTGGTGCCCTCACCTCCCTCCTCAGTGCTCTCCTCAACCTTCCAGCCTCCCAACGTTTCACGGGTTAGTGTTTCTGAAACCTTCCTGACATCTCTCCAGTACCTCAGCCCCAATAAAAGAAACCAGGCTAGGCTAGGCCAGGACCTCATCACTGCCGTGGTCTTCTCATTGGTCTCCCTGCCTCAGGTTTCTCCTCGCTCTGCTGCCAAAGTCAGTTTCCTAAAGCACAGGCCTCACTGTCACGAGTCAGAACTCAACCTCACCCCTTACTCCCGGGATCAAATATAAACCCCTCTTTTGGCATACAAGACCCTGCCCAACCTGGCCCCTTCTGACCTTTCCAATTTTCTCACCATTTGCTGCCCTCCACAAACTCTATAACCAAGAGACTCTGGCCTACTTGCTGAACTTTGCACAATCTCACATTATCTCCCGACTCCACTCCTTTTGCACCGCTATACCCCCACGCCAGAATGCTTGCTAGCCCCACCTTCACTTTCTGGTCTCCCGGCTTTCTCCAGTTCAGCACAAATTCCGCCTGCTGTGGGAGGCCTTTCTCGGCTTGTCTCCTTCCCCACGTTCCCTCTAAATTACCTTCACAGCCAGCACCGTTGTCTGACTGCTTACGTGCTGTCTTCCTCTTATGCATACCCCTCTGAGGAGTGGAACAGCCGTTGCTGTTTATCCCTCATTCTCAAAGAGAGCCGTGACATCAGGAAGGTGACACCATGACTCACAAGTGAATTGGATTTAAGTGAGGGAGGGCCGTGCAAGGTCACCAGCCTTACTTTCCCCTCCGGAGCCACGTGGGTCTAGTGGCCAGCCATAGGTTACAAGACTGGAAACGGCTCTGGATGCAGTGGGAGGCGCCGGCCCTTTTAAGCTAAGGCCCTTCCCAGGTCTCAGTTTGACTCTAAGGATCAGTGCAAGGCGTGCTCACGTGCCTGATAAATGCCTTTTGACCAACTGATAGAGGCGCGGAGAAGGAAATGTCAAACCACTCCAGTATTTTTGCCAGGAAAACCCCACGGACAGCACGGTCCACGGGGTGACGAAGAGTCAGACACAGCTGAACAACCACAAAATTAACAGGAGCAGCTTGGCGCAGCAGAAGAAATCTTACATCTAAATCCAGAAGATCTGGGCTTCCGGCTAGCTGTGACACTTTGGAGTCCATCTACAAGTATTTGTAGTATCTCAGTACATGTTTATTATGAGAAAAAAAGCCACCTCGCTGACCTCAAACGTTCTAATCCCTTCTTTACCTCGACTCCCTGTCAGTAACTAGGTGCACACAGATCACACTGGGTGCATTGATGGGGGGGGCTGTAAGATGCCTTGCAGCTCTGAACCTCACACTTCGGTACAGTGACAGGCCCGGATTCCGAGGTCGGGGGCAGGCCAGGTACCGCCCAGGTCTGAAGATGCCCGGGCCGCCGGACCGAGTCCCGCCCGAGCTAGGGCTGGACTTGCTCGGCCAGGAAGCCGAGACCCCCACTGCGGCCAGAAACTCTGACCCCCTCCACCGAGGCCCCGAGGGCTGAAGCGCTCTGTCCGGCACCACCCAAACCCCCTGACTCGCACCCACGCCCTCCGCCCGGGCAGCTGTTCTCAGGGGCCAAACCCCGCCGACGTTAAAGAGGAGAAAGACGCGCTCGCTGCCGGGAGGCCCGACCCGGCGTGCCGTGGGGAAGGAAGCACGGGCTTCCAGGCCTGCAAGCGCCTGCCCGCCCCTCCCCCGCCGGAGACGAGCTGCTCCCGAGCCCGCTGCCCGCCCGAGGAGAAAGCGGCGGCTCGGGCCGCTCACGGTTACCTGCGGCGCCGGCTCCTCGGCCGCCTCTCCCGGGAGGACGCTCAGCCCGCTGGGCCCCGGTGGTGCCTCGGCGCCGGCCTCCCTGGGCTCCGCCATGGTGCCGCCGCAGGCCAGGCCCCGGCCCGGCTCCGGCTTCCCTCCGGAACGGGCGGAAGGAGGGACCCTCCGCCGCCTCGGCAGCGACTCGCCCTGCTCCTCCGCACCACTTCCGCCCCTGACAGGAAGGAAGGAAGGAAGGAAGGACGGCCGCACGGGAGGCGGAAGCGCAACCATGCAAAATCTCGCGAGCTCTGACCACCTCCCCTTCTCCCCTGGGCATGCGCGGGCTCCCCCCCCCCCCCCCCCCGCGACAGACAGGGTCTCACGAGATTTATAGCTCCTCTCTCCGCCTTCCTCTAATCTTCCTCCCCCGCCCTTCTCCTCCCCCCTCCCCTCCTTGCCGCCCGGGGGCGTGGCTGCAAGACAACCAGCTCCCCCATTTCCCTGAAGAGGAAAACTGAGACTCTGGGAGCCTGGGATGAGGGCTCGGCCTGAGGACGCGCAATTTAAGGGGCTCATTGTACAGGGGGGAAACTGAGGCCCAGGACAGCAGTCAGGGAATATACTGTGGAGCTGGGACCCAAATGCAGGCATTCTCCTTCCTGTTCCCCATGTTGGGCAAGGAGGGAACGGGCTGAATCCCTGTTGTGTGGAGCGGTGGAGGGGAGGGCAAATGGGCCTTCATTCATTCATTCATTCATTCATTCATTCATTCATTCATAGTACAATCATTTATTTAGCACCTATTCTATACACAGTACAGTGTGCACGTAGTAGGCACTGGAAACAGCCCCTCTTACCCTGGGGAGAGGGAGGAGATGAAGGAGGCCCCATAGGACTGTGGAAAGGGGGTGTCAGGACCTGAGTGTGAATCCTCCCCGACTTTAGGCTAGTCCTTTGACCTCTGGGGCCTCAGTTGTCCTGTTAAGAAAAATGAGAGGGTGTCGGAAGTGACCCTTGCCCCTCCCTGCTCTGGAGCCTAATGTAGAGAATGTCCTGGACGACCCCTAAGGAATTTCCAGTGGGAGGAGCCTGGCAGGGCAGAGCCCACCTCCCCCCATCCCCTCCACCCCCTCACTTCCACCCTTGGGTTCTTTGTCTCCAGGTATCTTGGGGGCCATCATTGTCTCCCCCATTGGACTGTTTTCCTCTCTATCCCAGCATTTAGCCTAGTGCCTGGCACACAGTAGGAGGCTAATCAGTGCTTGTTGACTAAAGCAGCTAGGGATTCCAGGAGGTGGAGGTGAGGGAGGAGTGCACATCCAGCCTGGAGAGCCAAAGACTGCATGAAGTCAGTACAGATGCATTAATCCATAACCTGCTGTGTACCAATCCTTACTAGAGAGCATTAAGTCAGAGACAGCTCCCAGCCCATCAGATATGCAATACCTAAGGCAAGTAAATAAATACAAACTGGATGCAGGTTGATACAAAGTAATCTTCAGGGCACTAAAGGGGAGGAGGGAGAAGCCATTGGGAAAGGTTTCCCGAGTGAGTAAAGGAAGGATGGAGGGCTTTTATCTGCCTAGCCCAGGGCTCAGTGCTAGAACAATCCCCCTGGTGTGGGAGTTCACACTCTCAGTGGATGGGGAACCCATCAAACTGGTGGATGATCAGCCCAGGGGGTTTTTGAGTTGTATCTGTAGCTCAGAGGACAGGGCCCCAGTTTAGAGGGCACAGGGAGGGGCAAATGGTAGGTCTAGAGGACCTCAGGACTTTGGCTGGCCAGGCCCCAAGTCCTGGTGAGCCTTCCCCTCGGCAGAGAGAACCAAGTCTGTGACTCCCATCTCTTCCAGAAGCGGTCTGGCAGTTGGGTGGGGTCTGGCCCTGGGGGGGGGGTAAGGCAGGAGGGATAAGGGGACACAAGGGGGAGGGGCCCTTGGTGATGGCAAGTAGACCAACATGGTAGTCCAGGGTTACAAGACCTCGCCATTGCCCTGTGTTAAGCCCGAAACCCTAGGCAAGTGGATGGCCAAAAAAGGGATACTTTGTGTCTTTTCTAAAAGTTTAATTGATAATTTAAATGTGATGGGGATTCAGCACTTGCCTAGATCCTCACCCACCAGGAAGACTGGGTACTGGCCACGGGAAGACTAGAGAACCAGGGCAGATGTAGACATTCTCCATTGGCTTATTGTATGGCTGGGAGCAGCCTTTTTTCCACTGGCTTCATAACTGGAACAGTATCTTTTTAAAACTGCCTGATTGACCTTAGATAAGTCACTTAACAGTTCTCTGTCTCAGTTTCCTCATCTGTAAAATGAAGTGAGGAGGGTTCAATTCAGCAGCCTCAACCCTTTTGACTCCAAATCTGTGATCCCATGAAATTTCCCAGTAGTCACAGAGAGCCTTTGTCTGGTTCTTGGGCCCCTGTAATCCCAAAAGCAATTTCATTAGTCTTATGACATTTTAGACAGGGTTAGAAACTTCTGTGGATGTGCATGCATTGCAGACAAGAAAGCCCAAGAGCCTTTGGAGGGGAAAGCTTCTGCTTTGGTAATCTCCTGGGCAATGCCACTCTCAGGCACGCCTTGGGGGTCTCATGTGAGTTCTCAGTCAGGGTCCTGGGCCTTTCTCTATAGAGGCTAAAGAATCATTTTGCTAATCACACATTTACCACCTGGTCTCCATGAAGAGTAAGTAATTTGAGGGGTGGGGGGTGTGGATGTCATCCCTCAGCACTAGGGCATAAGGCTTTCCAGTCACTGGCTCATGTTCCCAAAAATCTGATATAAGAATTGTGTTCCCTGCTGGCCTTGAAAACATACCTTAGCCCTTTGTTTGTCATGCACTCAATGGGCAGTCCTGTGATGGTATAAACTAGAAGGGAAGGTCACACCAGACACATACTTCTGGGGGAATCCAGAAAGGGGTCTCCCATGGGCCATTTTTAACCTTCGCATTTACGTGGGGGAGGCAGAAGCCTTGGAGGTGGTCATCCATCAGCATTCTCCTGCCCACCAGCTATACTTCAAAAGTGTCCAGAGCTCAGTTCTGTATCACAAAGGATTGCGATCACTTTTTTATCAACAAAAGGGCCGGTCTGTCTCCATTTCCTGGCGTGCTTTCCAATTTCTGTATAAAGGACCCTTTACAAGCAGAAAATCCCCAAATTGTCTGGCATCCATTTGCTTTCTTGTCTGTCATCATTTTGTAAAAGCACCTGACCTTGTCTTCGTGACCAGTTTTATTCTTCCATTGGTCAGTCAGAAGGAAAGAGCAATGCAGATGAAAGACCGGAAAGAAGCTACTCTTGGAAGGAGACCTCTGGCTCTTTACCCACAAAATCACTCCAGTGGACTAGGGATGGGCTGTAACTAATGCAGAGTGAACAAGGCTTTGTCCAAGGAGCGGACTTGTAGGAGCTGACTTGTAGGAGCCTATGCCTTCACTGCCCGGTGACCGCCATGCCTATGACCCACCAGGGGTCAGGCTGCCTCAGCCTGGAATGACTGAACCCATGATGGCACTATCCCCCTGAGATGCCATTTTGGATGCCTGTACTCCCACCCCAGACTCTTCTCTGTAGTGTGACCCTGGGGGGTCCACCTGCTGTGTACCACCCTTCCTCCCCTGCCCCTCCCCACCCCATCCATCACTACCCCATGTGCAGTTTTGGCTGGTTAAGGCTCTGGAGGTGGGATCATGCACATTCTTAGAAAGGCATTAAATCCAAGGTCCTCTGATCCTTGGACAAAACAATGTTAATATGATTTTCATGTTTTTCCTGAAAGCCTCAATGATTTCTTGATCTATCCTATGGTAATGGGAACCACGTGCAAGAGTCAACTTCAGTAACAACCTTTAGAAATCATTTAGTCTCCAGGCAAACAGGGGACGTGTCACTGACTGGACATACAGATGTCTGTCTTGCTTTAAAGAATGCTTGGAGAAGATTCTGGAAAACCCTCCTCTTCCCTCAGCCCTCACGGTTCTCTATGGCTCAGCAGCTCTTTCCAAGGCTTGATTCTAGCACATGAGGCATGATCTATGGGGCTTACTGCATGGGCTCTGACTCACACGGAATGAGGAACAGGACTTCTCCCACTTGGCCTCCCACCCAAAGTGTTCTGTTTACCCTGGAGAAGGAGTGCAAGCTACCACTGTTACATTAGTGGGAATTAATTGGTCTAATTAGCAGAGAGAAGAGGGGGGCCTGAGGGAACAGGGAAAGTGAGACCTAGCCCAGCCTTCCAGAGATGCAGCCAGGTTTGCCTGGAACAAGCCTGAACAAGTTGATTTCTTCCTTGAGAGGGAGGAGGGGTGGGAATTCTGATTCACTCAGAGTCAATCCCTTCAGGGAGAGCCCCTTGTGATCTAGAAAGCTTGATGTGGACCTGGCAGGCTTCTGAGGCAGGAATCTTACATTAATCTTTGCTTTTTCTTTTCCCTTTTTTTTTTTTTTTGCTTTTGGATCAAGGAAGGCCATTGGAGCATTGTCAGGCGCTTGAGTATTAAGCAGATAGTTATCTTTGGTAAATTTTGTAAATCATTCCTTATTAAATCTGCAAAACATGTATTTGGGGATAATTGTAATTCTTGCCTGTTCACCTGGGAATGAATAAGATCGTGCCAAAATTGACTGCTTTGAGACTCTTTCCTGTATAGCACTGGGGGAGTAAGGAGAGGGACAGCAGTTATGCCTCCCCAGGGACCCCATTGGACTGTTAAGGATTGGGGGGCTTAGACAGTGTGTTACGGCAAATTTTTCAAAATTTGAAAGTGTAATGGGGAGACTGACCCACATGCAGACCCCTATTATACTAAGAAACCATAGAAACCAGGACCTGAGGAGGGGCAGGGCCTGAGAAGCAAGAAACAAGACATACAACTACAACCTTACAACATGGAGGAGCCAACCCAGGCTTGGCCCGTTGGTCATGTGGATTTTATCATGGGGAGGGGGGCATCCATTTTTTTTTAGCAATACCAGAACATATGGAATACTGTCATAAGGTCTGTAGAGATACTGGTGGGAAATTGGAGAGTTTTCTCAACTGCTCATGGGCTGTGTATGAGCTCCTTCTATTTTTTTGTTGGTAAATCATATACATTTATATACATTATGTATCTACATACGTATGTTTATAAGTATATGTATAAATGTGCATTTATACACACACACAAATCTATAACTTATCCCATGTACTCTCAGGGCTGTTGAGGGCCTTTTTGCGGGAGCAAAGTGA